CCCCCTCCCCCTGCCCGCCCAAACCCCACCCCAGGGAAGGCGGTGCGGATAAAGGCTCGGGGCCGCTCGTTTTGCCCCAGATCTACCCCGCCACCGCGCACTCGTGCAGAACGTGGGTACACTCGACTGTTGGGACCTCGGTGTGGCGCGCCCGGTGAGTTGTGGGCGGGACATCGCGGGCCAAGGAAAGGTTCCCTACTCTACGCTATTAAGGGTGTCTCATTTTTCTTTGTTCTTGAGGCAGGCAGGGTTCGGGTGTATACAGCTCTGGGGAACCTCCGCGGGGCGTGGAATGGGAGGGGCGAGGCGCAGCCAGAACCCCCCCCCTGACGGGACCTCAGCCTTCGCCCCGCCCCCCGGGCACTCCCCCTCCCTGGAGTGACCTTGAACTAGTTGCCGTTCCAGCCTGTTTTCCCAGCTATACGGCATCAGTCTCCTGATTTAGAGGCTTCACACTCTTAGCGAGGTTCTCCCCACGGGCCCGCAGTCGATCGTCCTCGTTCCTGCCCTGGGCAGCCTCGGCGCCCCTTCCCGAGACTTCGGGCAGCGCTTCCGGGTGTGGCCGGCAGAGGGCGCGCCGGCGCTGCTGACTCACCGCAGCCCTGAGCCGGGCGGCGCGCGCGGGCGCAGCCAGGGACACCGCGTCACGTCACGGTTCGGGAGGGTGCGACTCGGGAAGCGGGCCCGGCCCGCGGGACGGGTGTGGGACGTGAGGTGGCACCGGCGCGGGAGGGGCCCTCCCGGCACCGGCCACGTCACCGGGTTGCAGGCCTCCTCCACAGCTCCACCTCTCGCTGGATCATCAATCCCCAGGGTAGGGGCTCTCGCTAGGCCGACCCTCCCAAGCAGCCAAGCCGGGGTCGGGCCACGAGGCGCGGAGATTGCTTCTCGCTTCCGCTCGCGGTGGCTTCCCGGGCTAGCGCGGGTGGAAGGCCTTGCGGCTTCCTGTCCCTCACGACGTGGGGATAATGCTCCGCCCCCACGCCACGCCGCCCGGGGCCAGGTCCCGCACCCGCCCTGGCCACAAGCCTTTTGTTGCGGGTTCCGGGCCTTATGAATGGCTCCTGGCGCGGGTGGGGACGCGGGGGCCGGCCTCGGCGGCGCCAGCCCCGCCCCCGCCGCGCTTCCTTTGGCCACCGGGCCGGGGGCGGGGCGAGGGGCGGGCCCGGCGGCCACGTGGGGCAGCGCCGCGGCAGTTCCCATTGGCCAATGCTTGCGGCCTGCTGGGCGTTCGGCGCGCGACGATTGGCCGGCGCGGGGCCGGCGGAGTAAGTAGTGAATGGGAGGGGGCGGCGGCCCCGCCCTTGGAACGTTGATACATTATAACTTTTTTTTCTTGTTACTTTCACCCCCAGATTCTCGGAGCGGCGGCGGCGGCTGTTACTAAGGGAAGGGGACGCGCCGGGAAGCGCGGCCTGAGAGGCAGACAGCACCGAGCGCTGCCGGCCAGGGGCGCCCCTTCCTCCGGGACCCTCCCCCGGAACTGCCGCGTCTCGGTCGCCGCCCCCCGCCCTTGAAAGGAGCCGTGAGTGCTATTCTCCACCCCCGGAAGGCGCCCCGACGAGCCGACGCGACGCCGGAGAGCCCCCGGATTTTTTATTTCTGACTCTTCATCTGTTTCTGGGACCTCTCGAAGGGGACGCGCACTGTCCTCCGCCCCCAGGAGCCCCGAAGACCCCGGTTCGGGGAGCACCCGCCCTGCCCGGAGGCGCGGCGAGGATTGGTGGCGCCTCGCGAACCCCAGCCCCCCAGCGCGGGCCGGGGATGGAGCCGCAGCCCGGCGGTGCCCGGAGCTGCCGGCGCGGGGCCCCCGGTGGTGCCTGCGAACTGGGCCCCGCGGCCGAGGCGGCGCCCATGAGCCTGGCCATTCACAGCACGACGGGCACCCGCTACGAGCTGTCGGTGCCCCCAGACGAGACGGTGGAAGGGCTGCGCAAGCGGCTGTCCCAGCGCCTCAAAGTGCCCAAGGAGCGCCTGGCGCTGCTCCACAAGGACACGTAGGTACCGCGCGCCGTCCAGACTCTGGAGCCCTACCCCACCCCCGGGCACGCCGCCCCCCTCGGGCTCTGGCCCCCGGGCGGGAACAAAGAGCGCGCCGCTCCGGGAAGGAAGCGGGCGGCCAGACGGGGGGCGGGGGCGCGCCGCGCGCTCTCGGGCGCCCTCTGCTCGGCCTTGCTTGCCTCGGCCCCTTCCCCCACCCCCTCCCGGGGTCGCTGCACAAAGGCGGCGGCGAGGGCGCCCCCGGCGGGGCTTAGGCGACCCCTCTCGCAGAAAGGCAGGAGTCCCGAGGCAGCGCGGGGGTGGGGGGCGCGGCCGCTGCCTCTGCTTGCGTCCTCGCCGGCTTCCGCATCTGCTTAGCTGCCCTCTCTGCGTCTGGCTGTGTCTCCCACTTGCTTCTCTCTGCCCCCCTTTGTTCTCGCCACCGAGCGATCCCCGCAGTCTCCCCCTCCCCCTGGTATTTAAATCGCCTCCAGGCCGGGAGCCCTCCTCCTGCGGGCCTCCGGGGACGCGCTGTGTCCATCCCCAGCGGAGGGGCCTCATTGGGGGAGGGGCAGGAGGGGGAGGGTCTCCTTTGTCTGAGCAGCGGCGGCGGCGGCCTGCGCCAGGGTGGGAGGGAGGAGGGGAAGCCCGGCCAGGCAAAGCCCCTAAAGACTAAGTAAGCCCTGTAGTCCCACAAAGAGGAGCTCTGGGCTGGAATTCGTGAATGATAGGCAGAGTTGGCCCTGGGGTGGCTGGGAGAATGGCACGCTGAGTCCCGGGTGATGAAAAAGTGCCTTGCTGAGGTTCAAAGGGGCTGCCCCAGTATAGAGCTGGGGTTTCATGAGAAGGGGTCTGAACCGTCAGCATGGGGTTCCCAGGGCCAGACGGTGACCCCACACCCACTCCAGGGCCCTGAATCGGGGGACCAAAGAGGTGGGGGTGGAAGGACTCCTGTTTCCCCAGCCATCACAGAGCACCGCCCTCCCCCACGGCCTCCGCTTCCGCGTCCTTGCCTTGTCTCTGTAGCCTCACCTTCTTCCTTCCTCCCCCTCCCCCCCCAGCCGGCTCAGTTCGGGGAAGCTGCAGGAGTTCGGCGTGGGGGATGGCAGCAAGCTGACTCTCGTGCCCACCGTGGAGGCGGGCCTCATGGTAAATGGCTGGGGCATTGTGCCAACATGGGCAGGCAGCTCCTTTTCATGCCAGCACAGTCCCCATCACACACCCCTGTGCCTCCCTCGCCCTCCAGGGCAGCCCACCCCAGCTAGCAGGGCCTTTCCAGCCCTTGTGCCCAGGCTCTCTGCTGGGAACACACACTCAGGGTCTCCTCTCCTCCCTCTCTTTGTAGTCTCAGGCCTCAAGGCCAGAACAGTCTGTGATGCAGGCCCTGGAGAGCTTGACAGAGACCCAGGTGAGACCCGTGCTGCTCATAGCCCAGGGGGGTAGCTGGCCTAGTGCCAGTCTCCTCTGGGGAGCCTGGGGTTGTTTGTGCTCCCAGGAGGCCTGTGGGGAGGGGAGGGGAGGGGACAGGACGCGCCGCCCTGCCTGCGTGCCAGCTTGGCCTGGTCACCCAGCTTCCTCTTCCTCCTCCTCCCAGCAGTCACCACCTGACCTTGAGGGCCTTCTCTCCCATGGTGGCCGCCCTAGGGGAGGGGGTCGAGCTTTCACACGCCTGCCTACGGGGTGACCTTGGCCCACGCTCCCACTCTATCCCTGAGCAACCCTCTCCAGGGTCACTGAAGTTTCCCCAGGGGGATCTCTTTAAAATTTCTGCTTGAGGGAGGGGCTGGCCTGGGTGAAACTCCTTCCATGATCCCATAGTGAGGGTGGGGAGTTACCCCTCCCCTTCTCTTTCTGGCCTTTGTTCTTGGCCCCAAAAGGGGGAGGAGGGCGGGGGCACCCAGCCCCAGGGCCAGCACTCCTCAGAGACAGGATGTTAGGAAAATATTTAGTAACAGGCAAGGAGAGAGGTGAGAGGGAGGCCGGGGCTGGCCCACACCAGGGTTCTCGGTTTTGTTGCAGGGTTTGTTGTTTTCTTTTCTCCCCTTCTCCTTTCCTCATTTTTCTGGCGGCGTAACCCTCCTCCCAGGAGAGTGACACAGGCCTTAGCTATCCGCCTGCTGCCAGGGTGGGGGAAGCAGGCTGCTCCCCGCCCCAGCAAGGGGGTGGGCAGGTTCCTGGCCTCCCTGGCTGGGCTGGGCTGGCCACAGGAAACCTGCTTAGCCGCTTCCCTTCCTCCTGCCCGAGGCCCTCACCCCCTCCCCGACGTGTAGCATCCTGCCCTCACCAGCCAGCTAGTGCTTAGTGCGGAGGAGGGGGCGAGGGGGTGGCAGGAGCTGGGTGGTCTGCTATCTGGAGGGGTGGTGGGGTGGAAGGAAAATTGAATCCAGGTCAGGGCTCCTGATTTCCTGGGGCAGATGTGAACTGAGTTCCTTGGTGGGGTGGGGGGGGGGCTGCGGTTGGCAGGGGGGCTGGGGTGTGTTTGGTTCACATCCGCCTCTGGGTTCCTGCGTCAGGAGGGAGATGGGGGCGCTGGGCGAAGCAACTGGGCTCCCGGCTGCTCCTTGCCTGGTACCGCGTCATGCCTGCCCGTTGGCCCTCCCCAGGGAGGAAGTTGTGGGAGTGGGGGGGGACACTCTAGCTGGCTCTTGGGAGCCACCCTGGGCCCTTCCTGCAAGGGGCATTTCTGGAGCTGGGGGTTGGGGGCTGCACATTGCCTGCCTCCCTCACCTCCTCCCTGAAGCCCCCAAGCAGAGGTTACTACGCCAGCCACTGTTAGCAGAGAACTGGGAGGTGGTGGTTCTGAGTCATCCAGGCCTGTGTCACTTCTCAGAAACCTCCGCAACCCCAACCCCCCCCCCCCCAATTCTGGCTCTGCACTGGCCAGGCCCCAGTGCACACAGGGGTCAGATGCACCCCACACCCGCTGTGCAGGGGGACAAATTGGAGGGTTCATGTTTGTGTGGGCTGTGTTCAGGCCCCTGGAGACCTAGGCCCCAGAGAATCGGCCAGGGCCCCCCTCCCATAGCAGTGCGTCTCCTCAGGCTCCGCCCCACCCAGAACAGATAAATATTTATCTTGAGAAAGCAAAGGTTAGGAAGAAGAATTTGTCCAGGAATTCCACCCACTCACTGCCCGCTTGCCCAGTGGCTTAGCTAGGAGGGGGCCTGAGATAGGTGCCTCTGCCATATTTACAGGCAGAGAGGATCTGAAGGCCTGAGAGGGTGGGCACAAAGGTGCAAAGTGAGGGTTATTGGAGGGCAGTGACTGCCGGCTGGGCCCCGCCCCCTCTGGCCTCAGTTTCCCCTTGAAAGAACCAAGCTGGCCAGGGAGGGCCAGGCCCCCCGTCTGACCTGCCTCTGTCCCCCACAGCCCCCAGCGGCACCCGGGCCGGGCCGGCCTGACGGAGGCGGCTTCCGGAAATACCGATTCATTTTATTTAAGCGTCCGTGGCACCGACAGGGACCCCAGAGCCCAGAGAGGGGCGGCGAGAGGCCCCAGGTCACACAGCATGGGGGGCTGGGCTGGGTCGGGCTGGGGGCGCTGAGGGCTGGGGCCCTGAAGCTGACAGGCTGCTCTCTGCAGGTCAGTGACTTCTTGTCTGGCCGCTCACCACTGACACTGGCTCTTCGAGTGGGTGACCACATGATGTTCGTCCAGCTTCAGCTCGCTGCCCAGCACGCCCCGCTACAGCACCGCCATGTGTTGGCTGCTGCAGCCGCTGCAGCAGCTGCTGCCCGCGGGGACCCCAGCATGACCACCCCCGTGTCCTCTCCCTGCCGGCCAGTGTCCAGTGCTGCCCGTGTCCCCCCAGTGCCCAATAGCCCTGCCCCTGCATCCCCCTCACCTGTCACAGCCGGCTCTTTCCGATCCCACTCAGCCCCCAGCACATGCACTGAGGTGAGTCTGGGGAGGGCTTATCCTGGGAGCCCAAGGGCCAGCTGTCTTTAAACATGGGTGTGGCAGGGACTTGGAGCACCCACTGCATCCTTTGTATCAAGGGCCATCCCTGTACCCTGGGCTGGTGGGTGATCCCTGGACTCTGAACTTGAACCCTGAGCTCATGTATCTCCCTTCCCCATCAGCAGATGGACTGTTCCTCCTCTGCCAGTGCTGGGGCCAGCCCCACGTCCACCCCTGGGGGCAGCCCCACCTCCCGCTCCCGCAAACCGGGCGCCGTTATCGAAAGCTTTGTGAACCACGCCCCAGGGGTCTTCTCAGGGACCTTCTCTGGTAGGTGTCATATGGTATCCATGTGTGTCTCAGCAGTGGTCACTTGCACACACACCAGGGTGGGACACACCATCCCACCCTGGGCACTCACCAACACCCCCTGCCCCCTGCAGGCACGCTGCACCCCAACTGCCAGGACAGCAGCGGACGACCGCGGCGTGACATTGGCACCATCCTGCAGATCCTCAATGACCTCCTGAGCGCCACGCGGCACTACCAGGGCATGCCTCCATCCCTGACCCAGCTGCGCTGCCATGCCCAGTGCACACCTGCCTCACCTGCCCCAGACCTCACCCCTAAAACTACCTCCTGTGAGAAGCTGGTGGCCTCAGCCTCTGCCTCCCTGAGCCAGGCCCGCATGGTCAAGCCCCCTGGTGAGTATCCACCCATCCTCACCACTCAAGGTCCCTCTGTGTGCAGCTCAGAGCAGCTGACCCACTACAGGATGGGGGGGAGGGGGCCACCAGCTGCTGCTGGCCCTGCTCTGGGAGAGCCTGGAGAGAAGCGAGCGTGTGTGTTGGGGGCACAAAGTGTCCTTGTGCTCTCTGAGAGGGGTCCATCTTCACTTCCTTCTCTCCCCCTTTGGGTACTTTCCCAAGATGGCAGGTGGGGCCTTTGAATGGCTGAGCAGGGCTGAGGAGGGGGCCCAGCTTCCCCTCCCTCTGGACAGCTCCCTGTACACCCCCAACCTGGTTATTCCCATAAATCCGGAGTCACGAGGAACAGTGATGCTGCTCTATCTGGCAGGGCCCCCCAGCCCAGGCCATAAAGCAGAAACTGAGGCCCACGCCTGAGTGCCTCTCTTCAGTCACTAAAGTAGCCAGAAGGGCTCAAGCTGCAGTTAATTCAGTTCATGCAGTGGCGCTGTCCTGAGTGCCTGCCTTGGATGTGGCCCTGCTCTTGCATGCTCATTTAGCTGGCATAGTGGATACAGAAAAAGGTTTTAATAAACCCACAGCTCCCAGGGGTTCACTGGACATTCATTCGGTGGACACTTGATGGCTCCCTCACTGTGGCTATCGCTCGGGGGCATTTGCTTGGGGTCCTCATGTTTGGGGGATCCGGCCTATTCCAGGGGGTTCATGGTCACTGTCTCTTTTGCAGGGGACCGGCTGCGGCAGACGGAAAACCGCGCCACCCGCTGCAAGGTGGAACGCCTGCAGCTGTTGCTTCAGCAGAAACGGCTCCGTAGGAAGGCCCGACGCGATGCCCGAGGCCCCTACCACTGGCCACCCAGCCGCAAGGTGGGTCGCAGCGACGGTGGCGGCGGCGGTGGTGGCGGCGGTAGCCCCAGCGAGGCCGCCGGCTTGGGCCTTGACTTCGAGGACTCCGTCTGGAAGCCAGAAGTCAACCCAGACATCAAGTCAGAGTTTGTGGTGGCCTAGGAACCATGTCTTTTGCCCTGGCCCAGGATGGCTGAGAGTGTTGCCCAGCGCAGGTGGGCAGGAAGGCAGGCGGTGGGCGCCACAGGAGGCCCCTCCCTCCCTCCCTCCCTGTCCAGAGTCTGGGGTTTTTTAAAATTTCATTTCTCACCATGGTTTTCCAAACTCCGTGGCCTTGCGTTGTGTTCCTGCCTTCTCACCTCCCCACCTCTTCCTCTGTCACCCCGCCCTCCACACCAGGTCCTTCTCCGCCCACCTTCCCAAGCTCCAAATATGTAGCAGTCTTTCCAGATGGTTCAGAGCAGAGATGAGGAAGCCGCCCCCACTCCTTCCGCTGGCTCCCCCACCCTCTTCAGGTTTAAATCACAATGGAGATGCCTCACATGCACTTTACAGATGGGAGGGGGCCGCCAAGAGAACCCTCACTGCAAACTCAGGCGGCCCTCCAGCCAGCAGAGCCCACAGGGCTCTAAACACCGCAGGGGCACCGACAAGCACCGACAAGCGGCTGTTTCTCTTCTATGTCTGTACTATTTTCTTGGTTTTCCGTTTTCCTGGAAAAGAAAAGCTGTTTCAGGGGACAGGCTGGCCAGAGCCTGCCTTGGGGTCCAGGTAGGGGTGTGGGACCCTTTCCTACCAGGAAAGGAAAGGGAGGGAGAGGAACAGACCTGATGTCAGCCTTCGCAGGCCACGCACTGTGTGATTTCCTCCAACACCACCGTCCCACCCCACCCCTTTTATTTTTTCTGAGCTTGGGGTATTTATAGACTTAATTTTCTGACTGAGCCAGTAGTGGTTGGGAATCTCTTGAAAAATCAGGAGAGAAATGGCTGGGGGCTGGGGGAAATGCCCCCAGCCCTCCTTTCAGGTCCAACCTGAGGGATCTGGGCCTGTGGGCTGTCTGGGGGGCCCTCCAGCAGCCAGGAGGGGAGGGGGTGCTGAGCTGTGAATCCCCTAGTAGGGGCAACGCTGTGTAGCATTAACCCCTGGGTGGGGAGGTTCGCTGCTGGTCTAATTTGGAACCTCCCCATTCATGCCCATACCCCAGGGGTCTTTAGCCCCCACAGCAGACAGAGACACGGCCACCCATTCCCCAATTGGGGCCATTTCAATGGGGGTGGAGTTTTTCATTCACTTGTTTTTTTTTTTTTTTTTATGGATAATTGGAGATGTTTGGGCCTTCCCCACACACCTGTCTCAATTGGGCCCCACCTGTCTGTCCTGCTCTACACCCTACTTTCTGCCTGTCCCCCTCCCTTTGTTCTACTTGTAGGTGAACCCCAGGTCCTCACCTCTCATTAGATGTGAACATCATTGTTAACTGTAGCTCTGTAAAATTTTTTGTGTGGGGGGGGTGGGCAGGGAGGGGTCAGGGTTAGGGATTCCAGGATTTGTTTTCATTTTCCAAAAAAGAAAAAAGGGGCGGGTTTGTTTTTGAACAACTGTCTTGGATATACCTATTTAAATGTGTTCTCTTTTGTTTTTTTTAACGATTTTTAAATAATGTCTATGCCTCTGCCGGTCTGATGGTGGAGGCCCCAGGCAGGAATCGGCCCCTCCCACCCCACTGCCCTCTCCAGGGTCCCCCGCAAGAAAGCATTATCTGCCCTGGGGGTGGGGTCGGGTTGTGAGGTGTCCCAGCACCTTGCTTGAGTTTCCTGTATGAAAATAAAATTGGAAAAGAAAACACCGTGATTTCAAGTAATAAACAGAAAATGAAACACGAGTGAATGTCCCGCCTGCACCCATGGCAGGTTCTGGTCTGAAACGTGGTCTTACAGGCCTGTGAGTGGTGTGGGAGGGGTCTTTTAGAGGAGGGGCCTAGGGTGGGATACTGGGGTCTCCCACCACCTTGGGGTATAAGTTGGGTCCCAGTGTAAAGAGGGGTGAGGTACTTCCTGGAACAGATCCCAGGCCCCCTCCCTGGCTTGTGGGTGGGCAGGAAGCTGCCCCAGCAGGGGAGGGAGGGGCAGGCCACTTCCCAGTACCCCAAGGCCAGAAGTCCTGCAGGTTGTAGGCACCAGCTGCCTGCTTGCTGTATGGGGCTTCCTCACTGTGCTCCCATCTCTGGTGGGCCCCTGACCAGACTCCCCTCCCAGGTTTCCATCAGGGCCCATTTCCTGATGCTGGGCTTCCAGAGGCCCCAGTCTTCTCCAATAGCAACTCAGTGATCCCAGGAGGGTGGCTGGGGCTAGTGTTCAAGTCCTCCAGGCTTGATCTGGCCCTGGGTCAACTCTTGTCCCTCAAGCCTCACCCCGGCCTTGCATTCCAGCGCACCCCAGCCTTGACCAGCATGCACTGATCCTCCAGGCCTTTGCCCCAGGTGGTGCCCTACCCAGGAACACCCCTCTCCTAGCTACCCCTGCTCCACCTGGGAACTTCCTCAGTCTGCATTTCCCACCCTGCCCCCCTGAGCCACCGGAGGGCTGGGTTAGGGGCCCAGTCCTCTCTGGGGTCCCACCTTCATCCACTTGGTAATATTTAGTTATTTACATGGATTTCCTCACTTAAATACTGACCTCTAAGAAAAGTACAACTCCCATTTGATGAGAAAACCGAGGCCCAGAGAGAGGCATCATATACCCCAGAGGATTGGGGGTGATTGTGAAATTGGTGACCACCACCCCAGGCCGATTTCTGATCGCCCAACCCCAGCTGCAGGGACCCCAGGGGGAAGGGAAACAGGCCCCTCCCAGGAGTGTTCTGGGAGGATCTTGTGGAGGCCCTTGGGCTCCTCCCAACGCCCAGTCACCCCTAAATTATCGCACGCTCGCCCACGGCAGGAAGGTAGGATGCCCAGGTCATGCTGATCCCTCCAGACAGTGTCAGTGGTGCAGATGTCCCCGCGGGTGGTGGAAGCGTGGGTGGGATAACTCAGGTGGAACCCCCGCCCACGCAGCCGGGCCCGGGGGTGAGGGCCTAGGGCTGTGACCCAGGTGACCGACCGCCACAGAGCTGGGTGGGGGATGCGGAAGGAGTGTGCCGACTGAGGAACGCGCTGAATCACAGGGCTGTGTCTGCACACTGCAGGGCGGGGGCCACCTGCCCTGCTGCCGCTGCCGGGAATCCACCCTTCAGGGCGCTGCCTGGCGCACAGCCCAGGTTTGCGAGGGTCACGGCCCTGCGCGGAGATCCAAGGAGAGGGACAGCCCTACGTAGGGGGCTGCTGGCCGCAGCGCACACACCTGTGAGGGTAGGGGTGCACGGTTGAGACAGGGTGCAGCGGCCGGAGGGGCGTTAGCCCAGACCATGCGGGAATGGGAGGCACGGAAAGGTAAACTGAGGCCCAGAGAGACCAAGGGTTGCCGGGATCGCAAGGGGCGGGGCCGGCCATGCACCGCCTCCTCCCCGCAAGAGGAAAAACCTGAATGGGAGGAGGAGGCCCCCCAGAAACCCACAGGGATGGAAATACGGTTTCCAGGGCAACGTGCCGCAAAACGGGCCTGACGTTACCGCGGGGAGGGCTCCCTGCTTGCCCCCGTCCGCGCGTCAGGAGGCGCAGACCCCGCCCACCTTCGGGGACGCCTCATTAGTGGCCGCCTGTTGGCACCTCTGCACGCACCAATAGCAGCGCGGGGTTGCCGCCCGGAGGCGGGACTGCGGCATGGCCTAGCTGAGTACGCAAGTGCGGCGCGGAGGCGTTCGGCCCTCTCCCTCCGGCCGTAAGTTTGACTGCGGCGGCTACGCCTGAATGGAAGAGGGGGTGTACTCGGGGGCGCAGCATGTGGACACCGCCCCCTGCACCGGCCTGTTCTCGTGCTCCCCTCCTTCCACGCCCACACATTGCTTGTCCCCTCCCCCATGACCCTGTGTGCGCAACCCTTGTTGGGTGAGCACTGCAGCCCCCACGCTGGGGAAACGCCGGGAACCAAGCGGTAGGAGGCCACTTTGAGGCTTTACCAGAGGAATAGGAGTTTTTCAAATAGAGAAAGAGGGAATGGGTGCGCCAAGTAGGGGCCACGGCGTGTGCAAAGGCCCGGAGATTTGAAAGCAGGTGCATGGGGGGGGGGGCAGCCGGGAAATCAGGTTGGAGGACCAAAAAACGAAAGGCCAAGGACCCGAAAGGGTGATTCTCCAAGTCTATGGTTTAGGGAATGAGATGGGAACCAGGGAGGAGGTGCATTTGAGCGAGCAGAGACCAGAACATCTAGGAGGTGGCTGGACGCTGGGCCTGGGCTTAGAGGTGAAGCCTGAGGAGTGACAGGTGGAACTTTGTGTAAAGGTGGTTGGCAAGGGGGCTGCAGATTAGAGGGAGATGCCCCTATGAGCGCCTGACACCTGCCCAATCTCTGGGCCGGGAGCAGGGATTGCCGAAAACCCAAGAGGGAGAGATTCGGGAGCAGGAATTGCATGTCGCTGCCTGGCTGTGACTCAGATTGGGCTGTGACCAGAATTCACTCAGAGAAGGCACCAGTCAGCGTAAACAGGGTGGGCTTTGTCAGCTGGGGAGGATGTGAGCCAAACCCTTGATCCAAGGCTGAGAGCTCAAGACTGAAACCAGGGTCATGGCTGGAGGTGTGGACAGGCGTAGTATCGAGGACGTAGAGCCTTGAGTCCAGGTGGTGGTTCATAAGTGAACCGTGCTGTTGGGGTGATGAGGCCACTGTGGGTGGGCAGGTCACTGGGGTCACGGCTTTCTGCTTGAGGCCAGAGTCCTCTGGGGGTGGCCAAATAAGTTACTGGGGCTGGCTGCAAGGTTTTGAAATGCCAAAGGCAGCAGGGGTCGCTTGAGGAGGACAGCAGAGAGGAGCCAGGCCCCTTGCCCAGTCATCTGGGGAGATGGGAGTGAGAGATGCACCACCGAGGCCAGCAGCACCCCCTGAGTACTGAATGAGTGCCCCAGGCACAGCCATCTCCACTGGACTTGGCGGGAGCCCGCCCTCCTCTCCAGGCACCCTGGGAATGGGAATTATCAAGTTGAGGGCGTTGGGGCTCAACCCCCTAATCTTGACTTCAGCCCCACCCACTGCCACCCAGCCCTGGGAGGGCACAGGATCGGCTGCTTCTGGTGTCACTCGGGACAGGTGAGCAGCCCAGCTCGTGGGTGGGGGGCGGGACCACTGTCACCTGGGGCCCTGCTCCCCTGGGCTTGTGTCCTTGGCCAGCTGCCTCAGTGTCTGCCATGTTCTCCCCTTCTCTGCCTATCCTCTGTCCACTTCCTCTGTCTTCATCTCCATCTTCCGTTTCCCTTTCTTTTTGTCTTCCTCAGTCTCTGTTCCTGTCTGAGTCTCCCTCTATTTTCATCTGATCTCTGTCCCACCGGCCCCTCCCCCACTTCTGCCCCCTATCTGGCCCCCCCCACTCACCCCTGGCACACATTCCAGCTCCCACCTCCGCCTTGCTGCCCCTCCCTGGAGTCAGCTGCTGTTGCTTTGGATGTCCAGGACAGAGGGAGTGGGCTCGGGCCGGGGTCACAGGTTGGAGAGGGCACCCCTAACCTCTCTGGAATGTAGGTGGGGCCAGCCCCTGGGGGGGGCGGGGAAGGCTGTCCCCCGCAGGCAAGGCTGAACTAGGTGCCCTGCACACACTGCACCCCCCAAGGCGCTCCCACAGGCCTCCTAGAGGAGCAACACCACCCCAGACTCCCACACAGGGCCCCTTAAGCTCCCCACAGACTAACCCACCTTCCTGCAGGACAACTCATGCGCAGCACCGCCCTCCACAGTCCACTGAGTTACAGGCTCTGTAACACAGTGACCCCTATACACAATACCCCAAACCGACCCCAATCCATACCGCCACAACCTCAGTCAACTGTGTGACCCTCAAATTGAACCACACCCCCACACTCAGCCTGGGTCAAGACCTCTCTTAAGAAAGCCGCAGAACTGAAAGTCACACCTGGCCAACTGGGCCATTTGCCCTCAGATCCTCAGACTTGCTTACCCAAGGCAGCACCCTCCCCCAGACAAACCTAGTGCTCAGTCACAGATGCGCCCACACAGGCCCACCTGAACCGAGGATCCCAGTGGGGACTGGTGCAGGGGGAGTGCACCCTCACTCATTTCATCGCTGTTGGGGACCTGAAGAAGTGTGGGAGTGACCATAAGACAACTTTCTGTCCTGTGACACCAAGAAGGAACAGAAAATCAGAAAACCGGGAGCTCCCTGGGTACGTGTGTCTGCCTGCTTGCCTTGGGGGAAGCGTGGTGTGGATGTGTGTGGGCTGCTAGCCCCACAGCTCTTCTCTGAGTCCCTGCACCTGCCAGGGGAGGGGGGCACTCTCCATTTGTGCCACTCCAGTGTTGCCATGGAGATGCCACAAGCCCCAGGCAATGGTCCTTCTGCCCCCTCTTGTGCCTCCAGGGAGCCTGTGTGGCTGATGTCCTGTGTGTGGAGTCAAGATCAGGTGAGTGGACAAGGCATGGGTGGGGGCCAGCTACTCCTGATACATGTAGTATGTGTGAATACATGATCTTGGTGTGTGCTTGCCTGGCACTACATTTGCCAACTCATCTGTACCTCAGTTTCCCTCAGTAGGAGGAGCTACCATCCATGTCTATGATATATGGAAAGAGCAAACCCGAGAGGCTCCCACAGGCTGCCTGCCCATGCACAGGTGGGGACATCTGTGTCTCCCTGTGTACCCCTGGACCCACTCTGCAGCATACTGCATATGCACACAGTTGGTGGGGACTGGGATCACCAGCTCACCAACATGGCCCATGCACTGCTGGCTGGCCTTTGCACTCCTGGGATGGGGGCCCTGGCAGGTGAAAGAGTCAGTCTCCACATTCCTGGGCCTTGAGTCAGGCAGCACTGCCAGGTGCCCCACTGCCCTGAGCACCCTTCTCCATGTGGAGACCCGCTCCTGGGAACCGGAGGGAAGCTGAGTCTCAGGGCAGCTGAATCTCCTGTGTTTATAGTTGGCAGCCCCGCTGGGGCCTGCTAGAACCTTGAAAGCCCCCACCGCCTGCAGTTGGAACTGGAGAGAGAGGTCGCAGTTTAACTCTTCCTTCTCCTGGCTCTGGCCTCCTGTAGCTCTCCTCTGCCCAGGAGGCCTGACCACTGCTGACATATAGCTTGTGTGCCTATCCCAGGGGCATGAGTCATACCACCAGCCATGGACACACAAGCTTTGTGAGTCTTGGCCCATCCCAATCATGCACACCCAGCCCTGTCCCGAATTGCTCCCATGTCCAAACCCCATATGCACACGCTTTGGGATCAGCGCACAAAACCCCTGTGTTCTTTCACATTCAGTACCATGTTCCCACGTGTGCTCATGCACACACATACCCCCACGCCATGTTGCACACACATGAGTTCCGTGCACACACTTCCATACCATTGTGTGCATGCACACAGCCCCACTTTAGTGTCCACACAAGCATGTGTCCCCAGAAATTCTTGTTTCTCTGTCTCTGTACCCACAATCCCCTTGCCCACAGGCACAGATCTGCACTACACCTGCCAACACATGCACACATCCAGTCTGCTTCCTCCACCCTGGCTCTGGGCCCTGTGGATTTGGGCCAGGTGCCCCAGCTTGGCTGCCGCCAGGTGCACAGTCCCGGTCTCTGCCGGACAGGCCAAGAGGGGTGCGGTAATTACCTGGCCCTGAGGGGGTCTTACCCCCACGTGCGATTTTTTTTTCTTTTTTTAAGATTTTATTGGGGAATTGGGGGAGGGGAACAGACAAGTTGCTGTCCTTTTGTTCTTCGGTCTAGTTGAGAATGTCACCTCACTGGCCCATGTTGGTATTATCACTGCGTTCTTCCCTGGTGAGGCAGATCAGTTGTCAGCCACTGGACCGCCACTCACGGCGGTTCTTGGCAGCTCACACTGGCTGCCAGCCATTCACGGTAGCTTTATGGCAGCCCATTACAGCCTCACTGCGGCTTCCTATGACTGGCGACTCACAGCAGCCCAGCTCCAGGTCAAGCTGTTGTTCACCATCTTAGTTGTAGAGGGCGCAGCATCACTGGCCTTAATGTGGGATCCGAACCACGGCCCTGTTGCTCAGAGCTGGCATCCCAAGCTATCTCTTACCCAAGGCGCCACTCAGCAGGCCACACACACTATGACTTTCATCCTCACCACGTCCATCTCAGGCCCAGACCCTTATTACCACTTCGAACTCAGTCATTAGACTGGATCCGCGGAGGGCCCAGCGACCGGCAGGCCCCGCCCTGTGCGGAGGGCGCTGCGGGAGCGAGGCGTCCACACCTCATCTCCATGGCGATGCGGCCGTGGAGAAGGCTAAGGTATCGTTATGGGAGCGCAGGAGGCGGGCGCCCCTACCTTGGCGGGCCCCTCCCCCCCTTGGGAGAGGCGATTTGTGATTGCACCTATGGGGTCCTCTTGGCCTAATCCTCTCCCGCTTGGCAGGCGGTGAGCACCGCACGTTCCGGCTGCGAATAGCAGCCTGGCCTCTGTCCGCAGCTATTTTGAGCACCCTACTCCCCCGCCAAACCCCCCTCCGGCGCTCAGGTTGAGGAGCGAGGCAAGACTAGGACTCTCTCCCACGCTGGGACACGCGGCTGATCTCTATATCGATCACCTGGTGGGCCCCGGAGCCCCGGGCCAGGAAGACAGCGAGGCCGCAGCGCCCCCTCGTGTCCGCGCGTAGAACGTGGCGCAGCGGCTGCGGCAAAGATAAAGGTGGTCCCAGTCCCCTGAGAGCCCCCCACGGGGACACACAGCTCTGGATACCCGCCGAGTCACAGGGACACGCAGACGCAGGCAATCACAGAAACAGGTAAGGAGACAGGTTACACACTTGTGACCCAAGTACACAGTTCCCACGCAGTGCCCAGTGCAGACGCACCTGGCGAGATATCTACACAACGATGGGAACCCAGAGCAGTGGTGGGTACATATGGAGCCCGTACCCAGCAACGGGATCGTAGTAAACGCTTAATTACTGAGTACTGACGAAGTGAATGAATGAACAGCGCACTTCACAAAACCAGGAGGAGAAGGCGGACTTGGAACCACAGAACGGTGGGGGAAGGGCGGGGTGGGGGCAGAGGGTGATCTGGGGCGCGTTGATTGCAGGGACCCTCTGGCCTGGGCTGGGGCAAGGAGCCGCTGACCTGACTGCTGGGAGAACAGATCAGAAAGAGTGGGCAGGAATTGCACCTCAGCTGGGGAGCCGGGCCGTAGGCCCCGCCATAGTCTGGCTACCAAAGGAAGGGGGAGCTGAGTGCTGATGTCTTTATTTTAATAACCAACTTGCGTGAGTGGCTGATGCAGCAGCCAGCTGCTGCTGACTGGGAGTTGTATGGAGGGGCTTTGGCGTGGCAGGGTGAGGTACAGAGGGGGCAGCGATGAGTCATGATCTGTTTCCTGGGAGGGGAGGTCTCAGCGACTTGGTCACCAGAGACAGCATGCAGACCCAGGTCCCTACTGCGTCAGCTAGACCCACCTGAGGGGTTTTATAGTGGGGCTGGAACTTCTCTGGGGTGGGCAGCAAAGTTGCGGGTGGAGGGGGCTCTGTTCCCAAACCTGACTTTTCTGCAGAGTGTCTGCCCACTGAAGACTTTCTAGAGCAAGGCTGGAGCTTGGGTCTTTGGCAGGCAGGGGTCTGTACTAGCTTCTTCCACCCCATGGAAAGATCCAGGGCCAGAGGAGGCAGCATGAGCAGAGGCCTGAGCAGGGGGGCAAGTGTTGGCCACAAGAGGGGCTCCCATAAAATGGCCTTGGGGCTCCCCAGGCACAGCCTTGATGTTGAGGATCACTGCAAAGCTGGTTCTGATAGCAGAGGTCTTTGAACGCCTTTAAAAGACAGAAAAACGACGCAGGGGGAGGAGCAGAATGGGACCGACTCCCCCATGAGTACTGAGTGGGTTCTGGGTGTGCTGGGGCAGGGGTGCTGGCTGAAGCGCCTAGTGGAGGGGAAGGCGGGGCTGAGCTGAATGTATGGGTTCAGTGGGGACTGCTGGGAGCAGTGTTGGGCTTGGGAGGCCAGGTTGGGGTCAGTCTGCAGTCTAGAGTTGGGATGCGCAAAAGTGTTTGGCCAGGTGAGTGTTGGGGTGTGAGCAAGGTGAAGTCAGGTTTGGATGGGAGTTAGGTGTGGGGACAGGTTGGGGTTTGTAGGCAAACTGAGTTGGGTGAGGTTGGGAAGGAGGAAGAACTGGGATCGTGATGAGTATTGGAGTCCACATAAATGGGTTTGTCTCAGTGTTGGGGTTTGGGTAGGCTCTGCGGCTGATTGCGTGAAGTGGTGTATTCGGTTGTTTTGGGGGTCCTGGGAGTGCTGGGGTGTTGGCTATGTCGGCAAGTATATTAGGACTGGCGCCGGAGTTCAGATGAAATTGGGGTGTCTGAGAGCTGGGGCTCGGTGGCAGTGGGAACTTGGGTGAGGCCGTATCTGCGATTGCTGGAGGTCAGGGTTCGACCCACACGGGAGGCTGAGGTCCTTGGCAACAGGGGCTGGAGACCCCTTTGTTCCCGGCCGCAGGTCTGGGGTCGGTCAAGCGAAAGTGGGTCAGCTCCGCCTAGCAGCGCGTCGGCCCGCCCCCCGCTCCTGGGCGGGGGACTGCGGACGGTGCGCACCACCACCAATCACGGCGCCCGGTGCCAGACCGCGGAATGGGGCGGGGCCGAGACAAGCCCGGCCCCTAGCTCATGAATATGAAGCATGGCCGCGGTCTCTGGAGCCTAGGGTTGGCCAGCGCGGCGCTGGGGGCGGGCTCTGGGGGCGGAGCTTGGCGGCGACGTACATAAAGCCGGGCGCCCACTGCCTCCCTCACTCGCGCGTTAGGAGGTTCTGATCGTTGTGCTGTGCCGTCTTCCCGCCTGCATCAGGGACCTTCCCGACTCAGTGGTGAGGGCCCTGGCGGCACCGGCTCCACGGGCCCAGGGCGGCGGGCGGCTTGCGGCCGGCCGGCCGAGGCGGGGCGGCGGCGGCACGCCCCTGGGCGGGGGTGGTGCCGGGGTGGGCCCGGGGTGGAGTCTGACCCGCCGGCGGCGAGGGGCAGCGGGAGACCGGGCAAAGCCGCGGTTGGAGGGGGCGTCCCCTCGATTGCCTAGGCTCGCCGAGAACGGTGCGCTACCGCAAAATGGCGGCCGCGAGCTCGAGGCTGCCCGCGAAATGGCGGGAGTGTCGAGTGCCCGGATGGAGTGGCGCAGGCAGCGCGGAGGGCGCATGCGCGCGGCTTGGGCGGGACTGGGCGGGGCCACGTGGCGGGGCCCGACTGGGCCTCCCGCTTCCCAGGTTTCCCTTTGGAGTTGTACAAGGGGAATGCAGTGCCCGTGTCCCAGCCAACAGCCCGACACCTCAAGTTTGGTTCCGAGTTGTGCGGTTACAAGACTGTGCTTCCGGAGCCTTTTGGCAGAGGTTGCTCTATTCCACAAGGATCGGTCTAAGCATCGGCCTCATGTGGAGCCCCTCGTGTCGGGACCCCTCCCCAGTTCCTTACGGAGGAGACCTAGTCTCCGGCTACCCCCACAGGCACCCTATAGTGGACCAAGCACTTTGCCACCTCACACCCCCATGGTCATGTTTGGAGCTAGGCCCCCGTTTGCGAAGGGGAGAACGAGGTGCACTCAGTCGATTAGGAAGGAGGTAGATACTTGCCTTCAGGGCCCAGCACTAAACATCACCTGGGTCCACAGCCAGGGCTGCACTGAGAAGTGTGCAGAAACAGAACCAGGGTGTGCCCTGCCCTCAGGTTGCTGAGCATTGAAAAGGGACTCAGGGTGGTGAGGAAATTAGTTTCTCTGAATTAAGTTCTGGGTGGGGGTTGGGATGATTAAATGACAGGACGATAAATTTTCATTGTGTCCCCAACGAGCATATGTTATTTGTATAAAGTAAAATAGGAGGGAGGGGTGAGCGATGAAGCCCCTGGAGGATCTCAGTGAGGATTTCAACAGTTTGCCACAGGCCACCATGGCGTCAGATGAAGGCAAACTTTTTGTTGGAGGGCTGAGTTTTGACACCAATGAGCAGTCGCTGGAGCAGGTCTTCTCGAAATATGGACAGATTTCTGAAGGTGAGGCAGGTGCTGGGCTGGGAACTGAGTGGGGCTGCTCATGGGGAATTTGGGTGCTAACTGCAGATCTCTGTCTCCGCCCGTAACCTGCAGTGGTGGTCGTGAAAGACAGGGAGACCCAGCGGTCACGGGGCTTTGGGTTTGTCACCTTTGAGAATATTGATGATGCCAAGGATGCCATGATGGCCATGAATGGGAAGGTAAGGTGAGGGGCAGGTGCTCTAGGGGTGCACAGGGTTCAGACTTGGAGAGCGGGAGCCTCACTTCCCTGACGGTGGGGGAGCAAAGAGGCTGACTAGCCTACTTCTTGGTCTTCACAGTCTGTGGATGGGCGACAGATCCGAGTTGACCAGGCTGGCAAGTCGTCTGACAACCGATCCCGTGGGTACCGAGGTGGCTCTGCTGGGGGCCGGGGCTTCTTCCGTGGGAGCCGAGGCCGGGGCCGTGGGTTCTCCAGAGGTGAGTGCCACACTTAGGACCTGAGGCTCTTGGGGATATGGTGTAGCACTGTGGCAGGAGCTGCCACTCATTTGTCCTTCCTGTCCCTTTCTGTAGGAGGAGGGGACCGAGGCTATGGGGGGAGCCGGTTCGAATCCAGAAGTGGGGGCTATGGGGGCTCCAGAGACTACTACAGCAGGTGAGGGTGTGGTCCTGTGCAGTGCATGGCTGGCTTCTGTCTGGTCGCTGGCAGGAGGTTGGTGTGAGTAGACTGAGATAGCTCAAGCACCCATGTGTGTCCTTCCTACAGCCGGAGTCAGGGTGGCGGCTATGGTGACCGGAGCTCGGGCGGGTCCTACAGAGACAGCTATGACAGTTATGGTAAGTCACACTCCAAGGGCCTGCGGTGGGAGCTCAGCGAGCACTCTGTGAACAACACTTAGACCTTGTCGCTGTGCTTGCCCATAAGGGACGAGACTGCCATCTCAGGTCTTGGTGCCAACAGCCATTTCTACTGCAAAACCAAAGCTAAGCCAGACTGACTAAAAAGGAAAGGGAGACAAGGGGCCCGCCGAGCAGGCAGCTTACATGCATGTGCGGCCGCCCACCTGGCCTGCCGCTCTCGGCTGTGGGGGGGGTTGGTTCCTCCTGAGGCCACAGGGCCGAGCCCTCCAGGTCTGGACCCGGGAGTGGAATGCTGCCTCTTGTCGCGTGCTTCAGTGCCTTTACACTGTACCTGCTTCTTGTTCTCAGCTACACACAACGAGTAAAATCCTTCCTGCTCAAGACCGTCCTTCCAATGGCTGTATATTTAAAGATTTTGGGAGCTTCGCTGAATCGTTAATGTGTAGTGAACACACCTCCTTGTACCCACTTTTGTAGTCTTACCAGTTCTGATCTTGTCAAACACAGCCTGACTGCTTCTGACCCCCAGATGGCCTCATTACTAGACTTTTCTTTTTAAGGAAGCGCTGTCCGTTTTTAAGGGTTTTAAAAACGTTTTGAAAAGCACTTCAGATTTTACTTTTTTCTCTTTACCATGAGCCATGAGTTTTTTAGAAATCATTGGGGTTGTGTGGGTTTTTTGTTTTTGGTTGTGTTGCCTTTTTTATTTCCCTTTCTAATGGGGTCTGCCGAAGGAAGATGGGGCCCCGATTCAGTTCTCTTTGAGATTGGACTCTGAGTCCACTTTGTCGGAAGCTGAGCAAGCTGTGGCTTTTTTCCAACTCCATGTACCATTTCTGAGTGTAGCATGGTAGGACCCGCCCCGGGGTGGCGGCAGAGGTGCCCAGCTGCCCTGGGTCTGGCCTGTGTGGCCCATCTGTGCTGTGTATGACCCACAGTAGCCTTGCAGACGTCCCTAAGAGGTTCTTGGAAATGTTTATTTATATTGTCCTTTTTTACTGGAAGACATACATATCCCTTTGATGTATTTGAAGTGGTTAAGGAATTCTTGTACGCAGTTTTCTTTGGCTTCACGAAGCCGATTAAAAGACCGTCTGAAACGAACCTTTCTCTGACAATTTCCCTTTCATTGCACAACGCACTCCTGCCACGAGTTCGTGGCACTCAGACCTCAGCAGAAAGGGCAGCTTGAGAAGCAGGTCTGCAAGTCCTGCCTGAGGCCCGTGGAGAGCTAGACCAGGAAGGCAGAGTAAATTGACGCTGGCGGGCCCCTTGTAGTAACAGCCGACTGCCACTGGTCCCAGTTAGGTGAGCAGGTGGGTGACGGGAGTGGGCCGGTCAGACTACAGGGCAGCCCTTGGAGGCTTCTGGCAGTGGCAGCCAGAGGGCTCGACAGGGTGGGCAGCTCAGCAGGGACGGTGGACATGTGGGCACTTGACGCTGACTTGACTGCCTTAGTCTAGAAGCAGGTCCCAGAGCGGACAGCAGGTAGTGTCCCTGGGCGACCGCAGACTGACCGCTCGTTAGCTAGCTCTGCGGTTGCTTCACAAGTTCTGAGCGTTCTCCGCTAGCCTATGGAAGCTGCAGCCCTCGGAGGACAGAAGTGTTGTGCGCCCAACAGAACCCTCCGAGACGCAAGCTGCCCCTTGGCTAGCTCATATGTGGAGATAGCCCTGTAATCCGAGGTAACTCCTTCTGCTCGTGTCCACATCCCCTCTTGTTGAGAGCTTGTTTGAAAGTAAAGCTATGTACCCGGGGAATGTGCCTTTGACTGGTTTTTGCTTTTCCATTTTTTTTTTTTTTTTTAAATCAAGCTAGAACTAAAGTCAGACCCTGGCCGTTTGTCCTTCCCTGCCTGCGGCCAGGCAAGCAGTCCAGGTAGTCGGGCCTCGTGAATAGGTTCGATCCGTAAGCGGGATTGAAGACCACCGAACATCCTATCCTGTCTTTTGGGTTTTTTGTTCATCAATTTACAGCCTTTTCCAGACCTCCTTAAGTCATGCTCCTAACTGTAGCTCTCTGATGTCTGTTGCCACCTGAGTTTTTCCCCAGAGCCAACACTGTTCTCTAAGCAGCACCATCCCAAGTGGGTAGCTGGCTCTGCTTAGGAATGGAGTGTGGCCTGGCCCATCTGAAAGGCGCAGGCCCACCTTGGGCACACTGGCCCTTGACGGGGCCTCTGCCGGGATGGCCCCGATGACTAGCTTGAGACCCTTTTAGGAGCTGTGGATGGTTTCAGGGGAGGTGGGGAGGGGCAGCTGCGAGCACATCCAGGACCCGTGTGTAATGCTCCTTTGCTTTGGCAGGTTGAAGGGAAGCCAGTGCAACTTGGAAGGGTGGCCCAAGAACAACAATGACCTGGGGTCACTGTCCCAAGAGGGACTTCACCTCTGAGTAGGAGCCAGAAGTGCAGCCCCCTGCCCTTGCAGCCCATCACCTGTAAGTGCTTTTCCACATGGGTGATGGGAGGTCCTTTGGCCCTTCTGGTGGGTTTTCCTCTCTGGTTTCCTATCCCACTGAGGGTCAGCTTTCTGTGTGTGCATCCTGCTGGAGCCAGCTCTCCTCCCCCACTTCCTTATTTTTTTAGCAGGTACTTCACTGATGAACTTGGGGTGAGGGTCTTCAACTTGCTCCAGGAGAAAACGGGTATGTGGCACCTTGCACAAGGCCAGTCCTCATCCGCAACAGTGTGACAGGACATGGAAATCAAGAGTTGAATAAAGGGCTGTGTATCCATCCAGAAATCTTGAGTCTGGTTTGGGGTGCGGCTGAGGGTGGGTCTGAGCCTCAGGTGGAGGCCACCTGGCAAGGAATGGGGGTGCGGGAGGAGTCCCCTAGAGAAAGCCTCTTTTGGTCTTGGTTCAGGGCACGATAAGAACCCAAACTAGACAGACCAGCCAGTCACTTCATTGTTTTCTTGGGGTCTGGGGGCACATTGAGCCTGAGAGGTGTAAGTGGTCCTGGGGTCCCCTCATCTGAGATGGGCACTTGTCTCCCAGGGCACTGGCAGAGGTTTTGGCAGTGCCCCTGGGTGCCTTCGTATGTGCTACCCGCGGGGCCGAAATTACTTTTTGATTTGGTTGCCTCCTGCTCTGGTCTTGAGGTGCAGAGAGGCCCTGGGCCTTCGGCCTATCAGCTCAAGTCCCAGTATGCTGGGGAGGATGGCCAAAGTTGGGTCAATGTGTGAGGTCAGGAGAGCCCAGGTGCCCTTCCACGGGTCTTATTTCACAGGCTTGGTCCCCTGCCCTCGGCAGGATTCCCATGCTAGGGTAGATGGGCCTTCTCTCTGGGAGGGTCGAGTCTGCAGCATGGCCCCCTAGAGAGCACAGCCGTGCTGAGGACTAGGTCCTCAGGCTTCCCCAGGGCAGGCATGGCGGGGCCAGAACAGCAAAAGAGTTTCCAAGGCCCTAGGTGGGAGGGAGACCCCGAAGTCACTGCTGAGCATGGTATGGCCTTGGCTTCGTTCCTAGGGAGGCGACCCTGGGGCACTGGTGAGGCCTCGGCTCGGAAGGCCCATAGCCTGTTCGCCAGGCATCCAGCTTTGACCCACACTTCGGGGCGGCGCTGAGGTTGGCTGTAGCCATCGCGCTCTTAACCAGGGGAAACAGGCCCAGCTGCAGGGCGCGAGCCTGATGTGCGCTCGTGTGCACTGGGAAACGCCCAGGGGTGTCCAGGTGAAGCGAGGTAAGCGGCCACTGGCTGGGTGTTTCCAAACGCCCGGCCCCGCCCTCACGGGCCATTGGCTGGCCCCGCCCACGAGCGACGGGCTTGTATGGGTGGGGCGTAGCCTCCGTTTCCGCCGGGCCATGGGGCCGTACGTGCTGTCGCCATCGCTCCTGCTGCTGCTGGCGCTAGTGCTGTTAGCGCTGCTTTGCGGAGTTCGGGAGGCCGCGCTCCCGTCGTCGTGCCCCACGCAGGCCATGGTTTCGCTACCTCAGGCCGTGACGAACGGGAGCCAGCCGGGTGCACCGCACAACGGCACGCACCCGGGACCGCTGGGCTCGCCGGGCTCACCGGGCTCACCAGGCTCACCGCTGCTGCGCTCCTTCTACGTGCTCATGGGCCTCAGTGGTCTGGTCGCGCTCTACTTCCTCATCCGGGCTTTCAGGTGCGTCAGGCGCACGCTGCCTGTGCGGCCAATCAGCGCGCGCCGCGCGCCTCACGTGTTGGGGCGCGAGAACCCCGCCTTTCCGGAGCGGGCGTGGGCCCTTTCGCGGCTGCGTCAGGTGGTTGGGGTGTGTGGGAGGGTGACAGGAGGTCACGTGATGCCCTGGTGCATCTTAACGCTGGGTCAAGGATGCGGATTTCCCAGACGCGTCAACCCAGGCTGCACTGAACGGTGCGGTGCGGCGTGTGCCCACTTTGTGCCTCTGCTCTGTACTTTCCTTGCCGGGTAACGCCCACCAACCCCACCTGGGCCTGAGATCCCCGCCGGCTGCAATCCTCCCCATCCAGCCCTGAGCGTGGAGTGGAGTGGAAGGGATGGCCCGCTGGGCAGGGCCTGACGGAGCCGCGGCATCATCCTCTGGCTTTTTCAGTCCCGGAGTTGGCAGCGATCAGTACGTCGGTTTCACCAGTGCTCTTCTCTGGACAGTTGAGGATTCCCCTTCCTTCCTCGCCGGCCGCCCATACGCCCTGCTCAGTTCTGGTTCAGGCCCCGTGATTCCTTCCGGAGGTCCCTGGCTTCCCTGTTTGGCTTCCTGTCCGGGGCTGACTTCCAGAAGCCTTTGTCACACAAAGCCGACCATGTCCAGATGCTTTAAAGGGGCCTTTTCTATCCCCCACTGACACTTTTGTGGGTGCACAATGTTCTTGTCCCCTCCGAGTACTTGATCTTCCTTGCATCCGCCGTAGAAAGCCCCTCTCTTTTCCTTGTTGGTCTGCCTGGTGGTGGTCAGGAGCAGGGTCTTGGGCCTGAGAGCTCTTAGTTCGATGTCTCTGGCAGTCTCACCCCACTCTGAGATTCCATCTTCTTATCAGTAGAGTGGGATAACAATGCCCTCCTGAAGGGGTGGGCCTGCCAAGGGAGGCAATCCACCACGTATTATTGATATAAGAGCAGCGAATAATCACTGTAACAATTAGACCAGGAAGCTTCACAGCAAGGCTTTAGGGGTCAGGCCGAGGAGCCTGAGAACAGAGAACAATGGGAGGATCATGGGGGAAGGTGGGAAGCAGTATGGGGTGTCAGCTGCCTCTGGAGGTGACCAGAGACAGTCACTAATTTCATCTGGGACTGCTTCCAGGTTGAAGAAACCCCAGCGGAGGAGTTACGGCCTCCTGGCCAACACCGAGGACCCCACCGAGATGGCCATTCTGGACAGCGATGAGGAGACCATTTTTGAGACTAGGAATCTGAGATGGTAGGGCAGCCCTCCTTCCACCACCAGGGGCTCCAGGTGGGTGGGGTAGGACTGGGGGGGCGGGGCTGGAGAGTCGGGAAGGCCACCAATTTTTGACGTCATCCAAGTAATCAGCCAGGTCAAAGGCTGTGTGGTCTTGAGCAAGGCAGGCCCCCCTCCCAGCCTCAGTTTCCCATTTCTTTTTTTTTTTTTAAGATTTTACTGGGGAATTGGCAAAGAGGAACAGCGTTGGGGAATTGGGGAAGGGGAACAGACACGTGAGAAAGGGGAACACACAAGTTGCTGTCCTTTTTGTTCTTCAGTCTAGTTGTGGAGGACATCGCTTCACTGACCCATGTTGGTATTATGATCATTGCGTTCTTCCCGGGTGAGGCAGTAGTTGCTGGCCATTGGACGGCCGCTCACGGCGGCTCATGCCAGCTCACACCAGCTGCTGGATGCTCATGCTGGCTGCCAGCCACTCACGGTAGCTCAAGGCAGCCCACTGCAGCCTTGTTGCAGCCTACGCTGTCGCTGGTGACTCACGGCAGTCCAGCTCCAGGTTGAGCTATTGTTCACCATCTTAGCTGTAGAGAGCGCAGTGTCACTGGCCCCCATGTGGGATATGAACCAGCAGCCCTGATGAAACATGTGGGATATGAACCAATGAGCCACTTGGCTGGCCCCCTCATATTTCTTTAAGATAGGAACAGGCCGCAGTGCTTGAGTCATTGCCCTAGGCCCAATTCTGAATGCCAAGGTCAACATTAAAGGTGGAGAATTAACTGGTGTGCTGTGGAGCGGGTGGGTCTGGTGGCCTCTCTTGGGCCCCAGGCTCAGGAAGAACATGGCAGGCAAAGGGAATGGTGGGAAGGGAGAAGGAGGACTGGACTGAGGACCCAGGGCGCAGAGGCCAGCCAAGACCTAAGCAGGGGGCAACATTTGACCAGCCCCAGCATGCAGGCGCAGAGGCCAGGGGACCTGGGGACGGTTCTGACTTTCCTAGGCCCCCTGGGGAGGCATTGGTATAATGTGGCAGCCCCCCTGGTCTCCTCTACATCCTCTGGCTGGGGGCCCCCCTTCTCCTGAGGCATGCAATTGGGCAGGGCCTGGCAGGCTGAGGGAGGTGGACCCTGGTGGACCTAGGGTTGGGGCTGGACAGGTGGAGAGCTCCCAGTCACTTGGAGGGTCTCAGGCACAGTTCCGGGGGAGTGGAGCAGGGTGGGCCCCTCACTCCATACCACTCACCCCTGTCCCTCATCTTCCAGATGCTCAGGTTGGGGAGGTGGTGTTCCCAGCGGCCCTGGGGAAAGGACAAGAGACAGGGCCCACTTCCAGTGCCTGGACACCTGCCAATTCTCCAGACCACCTGAGAGCTCGCATGGGAACTGCCCAGCCTGAAGCAGCCTTGGCCTTCCACCTGGACAGGACCATTCAGGATGCTGGATACAAACCAGAGGGGCCTCAGCAGCCCCCCCCCCCAGGATTCTGAGGACCCTGGCCAGACTGTGACTTGTACTGCTGACCCTCTCCCATGGGGACACTGCAGCCCTGTGCTGAGAGGCCTGCAGGTGGGTGGGCTGAGGATCCTGTCTGGGAGCACCTTCCTTCTGGGCTGGAGACAATAAAGGCAGCAGTGACTCTGTAGCTGGCACCCAACTCCGCACTGAATCAGACCCCACGTCCTGGCTCACAGGGGTGGATAGCAGAGTGGGGTTTGATCCAGGCCTGGTTTCTCCCATCTAATCACACTGGGCTTCTTTGGCCATGCCCTCAGCTGTCCAGAGGGTCTGAGGAGGAGCTCCATGATGTAGATGGAGAGATGGAGGGACTTGCCAGTCATCATCTGTGGGCCTAGAGAGAACTATTCATCCATCAAAGCCCCTGCACAAGGGCTCCGTCTTCTGTGCTGCCTTCAGCCTGGGGCCCCTCAAAGACCATGCCCTCTGGAATCCTTGCCTCATCCCACTGACACCGCCATCACCTTTGGTGCTCCTCTACCAGCTTCCTGTGAAATTGATGAACCTGACCCTATCTTGGCGACTGACCTTGTGAGGGGCTTAATGGATTTCCTCTGTGGGCCTAGTTTTCCCTTCAGGCTGCTGTGTCTGGACAGGGTCCTTGAAATCTGATCTTGGAGAGTTGGAGGGGATGGGGACAGGCTGGCCTGTGGCCACCCGCAGCCTGAGGTCTTCCCCCAGGCCTCTGGCCGCAGCTACCACGGCCATGTTATTAGGAGGAGCTACCACCAGGTGGCAGCCTTGTGTTGCCTGACCTCTGCTCTGTTGGCCTGCTGTTCCCACATGGGGCTTGGGCTATGCCAAACAGTTGTACAGCTGGGGGCGCCCCATTTCTCACGCCTCCCTGAGCCTCTCCTTGTCATCATGTCCACCATGGGATGGGCCAGGCCTGCTGCCCACTTGGAACGAATTGGCCTCTGGGCCCATTCCTTTCAGCACCACTGACCCTTCCTACTGGACCACTGACCCTTCCTACTGGGGTTAAGCCTGGGTCCCTGCTCCTGCCAGGTGCAGAGGGCTGGTCTAGGCCATAAGCTGCTGGTCACTCCTCTCCATTTGCAGTCCTCTAAGCTGGTCTCCAGTCTGCTTACTTGGGCATCTCTATCTGCCCACCCCCCACTCTGTTCACTTCCCCTTCCTGCTCCAGTGACCAGCTGCCGCTTCCAGGAAGTCCTCCCTGACTTCCCCCTGCCCCCATCCCACCCCAATTCTGTAGGAGGGTCTTGCACTGAGGGGCCAGCAGACCCTCCATGGAAGGTTGAGGAAATGAGGCCAGAGTCCTTGGGAGGCCCCCGAGATGTCACACCCTCTGCCTCTCGGGCTCCAGCTGTTCCCTCAGCATCTGTTCCCCTCCCTTCTCCACACATTTCTCTTTTGGTCTCTGCAGCTCTCTCTGCCTCTGAGCCCCCACCTGCCTCCCTGTTTATTTCTCTCTCCATCTGCACAGCCTCTCACTTGGTCTCCCTTCATTTCTGTCTGTCCCTCTCTGCTCTGTGTCTCTCTCCGTGTCTGACCCACTGGGACACACTTTTAACAGGCGCACAGGCACTGTGCCAGCTCCCCCTACCCTGTGATCTGCGCCCCTCTCCCACAGCTCTGAGCAGTTTCTCGAGCTTCAAAAGGCACGTTAATTACTCTAATGAGGTCAGTAGAGACCCCTCGTCTGCCATCCAGAGCTGGGGACACACAGCACGCCCCCAGCCCAGCTGCCTCCTGTTCAGCCCCATCAGGAGGAGTGGGCTATCCTGCGCCTGTCAGTACCCGTTAGCCTCACCACACTCCCCGCATTAGTGTCGAGTAATTGGCAGCCCCACCAAGGTTAATGCACTATTAACAGGAAGTTCTCAGCAGCTTGCCAGGAGAGGGGCCTGTCAGCACAAGATGAAAGGCCCGGGTCCCAGAGGCTCGAGGGCACGCATGTGCATGTGCCTATGTGCATGCGTACAAGCACTGGAGTGACTTCCAGCACCTTCCTCCATGCACTCACACGTGGACACGGGACATGCACACACGTGCATCCACAGGTGTCGTCTGCAGCCTGTGTCAGGTTGGGATGCATAGCCTATGGCCCATCGCCCTTGAGACCCTTCCCACCACCTCTGTTCCCCCTTCATGTGCCCACTGGACACACAACAGACCTGTTCCCTCATCCATGGGCAGACTGGGGTCTCCAGCTCCTGGTTGACGGCTGTGTGGCTTCTCTATCTCAGGAATGGGGACAGGTGGCAGCTGGTGAGTCTGGATGTCTAAAGCTCATTAAAGGGGTGGCTTGTGGTACCTGCTTCAGGCCAGCAGCCAGCTGTGGTTAAGGCATCTTCCAGGAGGTGGGGGCTCCTCCGGACATGGCCCTAGCACCCAGCAGGGCTGCACCCCGCTCACCTAGGGTCAGCAGGTGAGGCAGCTGTACCCTCCTGCGGTTCCCGGGCCCTGTCCTCTCTGAACCCCCCATCCTCCCTGGGGGCTCAGAACCTGGCACCAAGCACTCAGCACCAAGCACCATCCTCCTTGGTGGGTCTGAGCCGCCACCCCTCTCCACAATATCCTGTCCTGGTGAGGTGTGGCTGTCTAGGTGCACCTCGATCTTCACTGCCAAGCACAGTAGTCACGTGTGACTATTTCCATTTATACTAAAAGTAAATGAAATGTGAAACCCTGCTCCTCATCGCACTGGCCACACTCCACCTGCCCAAGTAGCTACAGGGAGCTGGTACCACCTTTATGGGATAGTGCAGATCTGGAACGTGTCCATCCTCCAGGGAAGTCTAGCCCCAGATTGGAGGCAGTCACCATGGGAAACCAGGGTCTATGTCCAACCCTGGGGCTGGGTGGGTGGAAAGGAATGAGGGAGAGTAAGGGTGAGGAGGCAGGAGGGTGGGGAGGGAAGTAGCAGGGGTGTGGGGCCTGTTCAGTCTATTGCTGGCCTTGGTAGTTGCAGGAATTTGGTCTGGGCTGAGATTTCAAGGACCTGGCTGGACACGAGGGTGGAAATTTTATCAGCAAGAGAAAGGGATACTTTTTTATTTTTAATGACAAACCGAGAACCTGACAGCCTGGGGGAATTCTTGACCCTCCCAACCCCAGGTGCAGGCCAGGCTGGTGAACAGGCCCTGGCCCCACTCTGACCAGGGTCAGTGGAGCCTCTAGCCACATAGGCCCCAACCCTCCCCGGCAACCCCTTCCCCTGCCAAATCTCTGCCTGGCTGATCTGGGGCTTCTGGAAACCGCTGGAGCAGGTGGCGGGTTTGGTCCAATTTATTCTGTAATGAATTTTCCCCCACATATTTTTAGCTTTCTCCACAGCGCGGAGGCCTTTGAAGGCTGGGGGGTCCTAGACAATGATCCTGAGCCCTGGGGACTTGTCTTGCAAGCCAAGTGGCAGGTGATGGGTAATGGGTATCCAGTCAGGGGTCAGTGAGTGGTGAGTGATGGGCCAAGGGTGCTGAACTCAGGCTAGGGTCCAGGTCTAGAGCCCAAGAGTTCAGGCCAGGGTGGATAGGGACAGATCCACATCACAGACCATGTGGTGAGTCTGAGCCTGGGGCTGACAGCCGACCCTGGATGGCCTTTGACTCTGACTGAGCCTTGAACTCAAGACCGATCACTGTCCCCAGAGTGAGCCTGACATGGAACTCTTGACTCCAGAGGAAGGTTGCACCAGAATGACCCCGATCCCAGCTGATCTGTCTGCTGAGGCTGGAGGCTGGGATGGCTCCAGCTCTGAGAGGAGACAGGGCCACTTGGTTGCTCACAGTGGGCCTGGCTGGGCAGGGTTTCCCATGAGCTGTACCTGCTCATGGTGGTGGGGGCCCACCCTAGCCTTGCCCAGGACCAGGCCTGGGAGCTGCCCAGCCCTCCCCTCCTTGGGCCCCTCCTCCAGGCACAGCAATGTTAAATGGGGGACACATGCCTTTGTTCCTGTCCCTGCTCCAGCTCTGACCTTGAGAGAGAGACAAGAACAGAAAGAGAATGGAGCTTCTGCTCAAATCCACTCAGTGGCAGGTGGCAGTGGCAGCTCCTTCCTCTGGCCCCAGCATGCAAATGAGCCAAACTATCACTGGCCTTTGCAGAGGATGTCCCCTCTGCCCATGTGCCCCATCCACTCCCCTGTGCAGGTCCAATCATGCTGGGTTTGACAGAAGAGCCCCTGCCCCTTCAGTGAGGTCCCATAAAGTAGGAGGGTTCTCGTCCAAGGGCAGAGGAGGCTTTTGGAAGGGCTCTTTGCTAGGCAGGACGTGGGCTGGACTAGGCATGCTGGCACCCTGGATGTATGGCCCTATGTACTGTGCTTGGGTCCAGCCGCTAGGCCTTTGCTCCCCCAGAGAGCCAGCCAGCCAGCCTGGGCTGAGCCCTTGTTCCAGGGGTACCCAGAGAGTCTTCCTGAAGGCCCTCCCAGGTGTCCTGGGCCACTTCTGGGTCTCCTGGCCACCATATGTGGGCAGCTTCTCACCTCTGTAGAGCCATTGGGCCAGCCCTGGGACAGGTGTCCGCAGTTAAGTCAGAGGATCGGACCCAAAAGCCAGAACAGACAGGCTGAGTTCCCCAGAGGGTAGAAGACTGAGAACCTTGTCCTGTAGGGGTGGGGGCACAGGGTGGGACAGGCCTTGAAGGACGGATGAATAGAATTTTAATGGGAAGAGAAGGGGAAGGACTTCAGGTGGGGTATAGCCTGAGCAAAGTTCAGGTGTGGCTGGCAGGGACCCGTGGGCAGAAGCAGCTCAGGGGACATGTGGCACACGCCCACAACGTATCAGAGATGAGTGGCTGGGGTGGGTCCATCTGGTACTCCTGCCTTGCCCTAGGCAAAGGTTAGTTTGCCAATCTTTGGCCTCTTACAATTCCTGGGAGGAGCTTCGATTATCCACCACTTGGGGACCTTCCAGTTCAAGAGCTCTTGCTCCGTGACCCTGTACAAGGCCTGGGTGTGGGAAACACCCAGAGGTGGAACCTGGCTGGGCAGTACTGGCATTTTCCAGCCAGCACTTGGTGACAGCATACCTCCACAAGCTCAGTCTGGTGAAGGAGACTGTGGCATGAATAAAGACAAAACTAGAGATCAGGCCCCCAGTTCCTTGCCCACAGTTTACCCCCAGGCGTGATCACTGAGTCCCCTGAACAGGTCAGGCGCTCTAGGCCTTTGCCTAAGTTGTGCCCTCTGCCAGAACGCCCTTCTGGCTCTCCTCCCCCTGTTGGACTTTTTTCCTGCATGTTGACTTAATCCGCTGAAGGTGCCGAGGTAGGGACTCCTAGTCCATTTCCCAGATGAGAAAACAGAGATCCAGAGGGATGTGACTGCCCTGGGGGCCACTGAGGAGGCAGTAGTGGACTTTGTTCAGTCCCAGTGCAAAATTCTCTACCAGGCTAGATGGGAGGCACAGAGTTGTCTGGGCCTGGTTTAGGACTTGGGGTCTGGGTTTGAATGAAGGGGTGAGATGGGGTGAGTCATCTCTGTGCCTCCTGTTCCTCCCATGGGCCAGGCTCTGTAGCTGGGCTTGGTGGCCTCAGTGGAGGTGACTGAGAGGAATTCAGGGACCCTCGGGTCAAGGCCGCGTGGTGATGATGGTGATCGCTGGGGCAGGATCCTGACGATATAGGAAGCAGGATCGCAGACGCCAACCGTGACGAATCTGGGACGCTTTGGCCCGAGGGCGGGGGCTTTGAGGCAGGCGCCCCCACCTACCCCCGCGTGGCCGGGGCACGGCAGGAGGGGGCGCCCGCGGCCCTCCCGGCGCCCGGGCGGGACAAAGGCCGGAGCCCTGGCCCCTCCCCAGCGGGTGCGGCGGCGTTAGCCGGCGCTTAGAGAGTCCGCGCAGCCGGGCTGGTGCCCGGGGCGACCCCGGCGCCCCGCCTGCCGCCGCCTGACTTCTCGGCGCCTGAGGTCGCGCGCGCCTAGGCGTGGGCGGCCGGGGATCTCCAAGCGCCGGCGCGTCCTCCTCCAGTCCGCCCAGCGCCCGCCCGCTCGGCGGCGAGGGAGGAGGCGGAGACGGCTGGCAGGCGGCGGCCAGGCGAGCGCGGCGGCGGGACTGGGGCCATGGCGCCCGTGCAGCGCCCGCTGCTGCCGGTGCTGCTGCTGCTGCTCCTGTCGCCGGCGCCGGCGCCCGTAGCGCGCGCCGAGGACGCCACCCGCGCCAACTCGGACCGCTACGCCGTCTACTGGAACCGCAGCAACCCCAGGTAAGCGCGGCCGCGGGTGGGGACCCGGCCCCTGGGGACCGCGAACGCCCCCGCCCCCGGCCCGGCTTCCCCACCACTAGTTCTCGGCGCCCCCCGCACGCTCTGCTTCCTGAGTGGGGGTTCCCGGTTCCCGCGGGAGCCCCCAGGGAGTTCCGGACCCCCAGAGTTTCGGGTACTCGCGTTCCTCGTGCATTCTCCCCCCAGAGTACCCCACTGCCATGCAGTCTTGGGGGACTTGCGCCCTGCATGCCCCTGAACGCCACAGTCCCCAGGAGTTTGGGGAACCCCTCAGGCCCCTTCAGAAGCGGTGCAGCCCTAAGTTCCCTCCTGGACTTGGGAGACTCCTATTCTTTGGTCTCCCCAGGGAACCCCCCCTTCGGAGTTGGTGGGGATCCCCTGGGACCTTGGCACTGAGCTGCCCCTGGAGATGGGGAGGCCACAGGCACGTCCTGCCAGCGGGTCTGCAGATTAACTTGGGGAAGTTGGAATGTTCCTCCCTACTGACCCAGTGTCTACCTTCACTCCAGGAGGTTTTTGGTCCCTGCTTTGTAGGAATGGGAGACTGAGGTACCAAGGGGGATTGGGATCTGTCCTGGGAGTCTTGACTGGGTAGCACCCTTTCCCCATTCTCCTAGCGCTGATGGGGAAACTGAGGCACAGAGGGGATGAGCAGCTGACTCAAGGTCATGGCCAGGGAACAGAGCTGGGGCAGGGGCCCAGGTGGCCTTGTGCCCAGCTTGTCACACCTGGCCGAGGTTCCCCACCCATCTGCTTACACAACCTCCTCAGTGCCGGGCGCTGAGTACAAATTGGAGGGCAGCAGAAGCCCCCATTAGACGGAACCAGTAAAGTTTGCTGGTGACTGTCCACATCCTGGACATCACCAGAAGCCACTGGGCCATCCCCAGTCTCGAAGGCTGGAGTGGACTGGGGGTCCTGTGGGAGATGAGGCTCCAGGGTCCCGAGACTCTGGAGTCTGCCCCAGTACCCAGCACCACATTTCCGTAGTGGCTGGCTCCACTCCCTGCCCTTTTGCCACCAGTCACTTTCTGTTTCTAAGCACCGGCTGGGCCACCCTCCAGAGCCCGCTGTCTCCCCAACCCACTGTCTGCTGACCTACCCCATCCTCAATCCTCCTAGGGCGGAAAGTTGCATAAAGGGTGGTCTTTGAATCAGGCTCTGGGACAAGGGCGGCCAGTGTCCCGCCGCTGTGGGGGCAGGGAGCATGCTCAGGCACCCCCCTCAGTTGCCCAGCTGCGGGGTCGGACCCTGGGGCCCAGGGCAGAGACCCCGCACCAAGAAGGGACAGCTGGGCCACCTCGGAGCTGGTCCCCTGCGCCACCCTCCTCTCTGGTCACATGTGGGTTTGATTAATGCTCTTCCCTAAGGCCACCGAGCAGGGAGCCCAGAGCAGGGAGCCCAGCGGGCAGCGCTTCCTGGCCCAAGTTTTTGGTTTTAGCTCCGGAATCCCTGTCCCTGCATGGCCTGTCCTTTGTTCTAGGAAACATCAAACACAGGGACTAAAAGGGGGTCACTGGGGCTGCCCACTGCCCCACTCGCCACAGGGCTGTGTTGCCAGCAGGATCCCGCTGGGGGAAGGAAGCACCTTGTCCTGAATCTGCTAGCCACTTGTCCACCTCCTGTTGCTGACCTGACAGCCCTGCTCTGACCAACCACCCAAGGGATGGCCTTACTTGTTCGGCACAGACCCTAGCCATTAGGTCCTTCTCACCTCCCCTCCTCTTCCCCTTGTCTGGGGCATCCCTGGTAGGAGGTGGCCTCCCTGATATCTTGTGATGGAGCTGGGGGCCTAGGTGGATCCAGATTAGATTGGGGCTCCATTCATTGCTGAGATTTGAGGGCTCTGCCAGAGAGGCCTTGACACCTAGGGATCCCTTGGGAGGTTTGATATCCAGGAGCGGCTGGACCAGACCTGTGCCTGGTGACGGGGTGTGTTGGGCACAGGAAGAGGGGTGGCGTTGGGCTTCAGGGTCTGAGGACACCCAGGAATGGAGATTTCCCAAGGGCGCTGAGTCTGGGGACCATGGCCCAGGGGAGAAGGCGCAGGGTTGGGGAGCAGGCCTGAACAATGAGGCAGCCCCAGGAACAGAGACGAGAGATGGGCCTGGATGGGGAGAGACAAGAATGGGGTCAAATCAGAGATTTGTGGCTGCACTCGGAGGAGGTAGAACCCAAGGACTGGGGGTGGGGGTGGGGCTGTGCCTGAGAGAGGGGCGCACACAAAAGGCACTGTGAGGAAGGGGACAGAGCCAAAGCTGGGCAGCTCAAGTAGGGGACAGACAGATAGTGGAGGAGCCCGAGGGATAACTGTGCTCAGATGGGGATGGATAGGTACCGGCGGCACTGTGGGGAGGCTGGCCACCATCTCCCAGCCAGGCCTGATACCTGCACTGAAGTAGTGAGTGTGTGGCTGTTTCCCAAATTACGTCCTCCTGTGCAAACTGGTTCCTGCACACACGGGGCCTGCAGATGTCGCAGAGGGAGCCCTGTACCCACCACCTACCATGTTATAGGGTGGGGCTGCCACCTGGTCCAGCCACCTGGCCCGGCACCCCCACCAGCTGCTGTCCACCCCCAGGCTGGCTGCTGGATGTCTCTGGGTCAGAGTCCCAGGCCTGTTGCCCTCACCTGGCCTGGCCATGGGCTGTGCATGGGGCTGTATGTGCATCTGCATTGTGGTTCATGTGCATCTGTGCACGACGGGGGGTGGGGTTCAGGGGCAGCAAAGTGTGTCTGCAAGTGTCACTGAGAGTTCTTGTCCACACGTGCGGGGATCCTGGGGGCCCCGGGAGGTGTGTGTCTGTGTGTGGTGCATGCGCCTGTCTGTGTGGCAGGGTGACTCATGTGCCAGGGTGTGCATGTCGACCCTGGTGTGTTTGCATATGTCAGTGTGATTGTGCCTGGAGTACATGCATGTGGAGGGTACATGCATGTTCGCAGGAGCTTGTCTGTGTGGAGTCTGGGGGTACATGTGCACATTTGTACATGGGGAGGATGTGTGTGTCCGTGTGTGGGATGCAAACGTGTGTGTCTTTAATGTGTTTGTTCGTGGAGAGCATGCATGTGTCTGCATGTGCAGCCCGGCTCTGGTGGACCCAGGGCCTCACTGATGGCGGCACAGCTTGCTCTTCCTGCTCATCCTATTGACTCCTCTTCTGACCCCTCCTTGGTCCAGGTGGGTCCCTGCTGGGGGATGTGTCCAGGTCTCTTGGGCCCCGTGCTGCCCATGATGCAGAGGAGCCATCAAGGTTGAAAGCGGGCACCATGCAGGGCACTGGCCATCCCCCAGAGTCCCCACCTGATGGGAAGACTGCAGCCAGAGTGGACCTAGCGGTGCAGACCCCACTGGGAGCTCTGGGCTTCGCGCTCATTCCAACCAGGCATCTTGGGCTCCGTCTGCCCTTCCGTGGCCCCCAACAGGCCAAATTGCCCATGGGTCGGGCAATGGCCATGTTCCCCCTCAAATGACCGGGTGGTAAAATGGGGACTTGGGGAGCTGTTGCTGTGGTGGTGTGAGGGGTCTGGCTTTGAAGGAGCGATGCCACATTTTGCTGCATGAGGCTTTTTTGTTATGTTTGAAAGAAGCTTGTCCACCCAGCTTAGGGGGCTTGGAGGGCTTGGAGAGCGAGGCCCGGTGAGCCTTGGGACTTGGGGCCAGAAGGTGGGGTCCGGAGACTGCAGGGAAGCTGGACTTGGATTCGTGGGTGCCGGAACCCTGGGTGTGACCTCCAGTGGGTGGCTTTGCTGCTTGAAGTTTCCGTGTCTCCTCTGTGAAGTGGGGGCTGGCAAGCTGTGCCCCTCGCAGATGGTAGTAGGGCCCGGTATGGATGGGCCAGGTGCAGGCATGGCCTGCTCTGAGGGGCTCAGGGGAACTCCACAGAGGGGGAAACCAAGGCACTTCTTTTTTTTTTTTTTAAAGATTTTATTGGGGAATTGGGGGAGGAGCGTTGGGGAGTCGGGGAAGGGGAACAGACAAGTTGCTGTCCTTTTGTTCTTCAGTCTAGTTGTGGAGGACGTTGCTTCACTGGCCCATGTTGTTATTATGCGCTCTTCCTGGGTGAGGTGATCAGATTGGTTGCCGGCCACAGGATGACTGCTCACGACGGCTCTTGGCAGCTCACGCTGGCTGCCGGCCGCTCATGCCAGCTGCCAGCCACTCACGGTAGCTTATGGCAGCCCACTGCAGCTTCACTGCAGCCTACGCCGTCGCCGGCGACTCACGGCAGCCCAGCTCCAGGTCAAGTTGTTGTTCACCATCTCAGCTGTAGAGGGCACAGTGTCACTGGCCCATGTGGGGTCCGAACTGGGGCCCTGCTTCTCAGAGCTGGCTTCCCAAGCCAACTCCTAACCAACGCACCACTCAGTGGGCCCCCAAGGCACTTCTTTGGGAAAGAGGAGGGGCCTCCAGGCTCAAGGCCCCAAGTCCACAGTGATTGCAACATTCCAGGGTGGGGATGGCAGTGCTGGAGTTCAAGGGCTGGGTGGGGAGTCATGAGCCGCCCCCACCTTCCAGGGGCCTGGGCTCCCTCCATCCGGACCTGAGTTAGTATGTGCAGGCATCCTAGGGTCTGATGGGCCGGCAGGTCCTCCTGTCCCCAGCCTCAGTCCTTCCCCACCGTGGACCACCCTGGGTGGCCTCAGCAGAGGAAGAAACCAAGGATCAGGTGCAGAGGCCTGAAGCCAGCTGTAGACTCAGCTGGATTTGGCCTCCACCTGCCTGGGAGCTGGGCTGGGAGGAGGCTGGAGTCTCCAACCTTTGGGCCCCCCAGCAGACTTCCCCACAAGGTTCACAAGTCCCTGCGGTCATGAGTGGAGGAGCTGGTTGTTCTTGGAACAGCAGGTGCATTAGTGGGGGGTCTGGAAGGTAGTGATTTTTTTCCAATGGATGTTATGAGGCCCCTGAGCCAGTCTGGTGGGGGTCCCACCCGGCCTGAGCCATGTTTCCTCTGTGACACCTGCTTTCCCTTTCCCTCCACCTCAGGAATGGGTGGCATGGCTTGCCGTGTCCCACAGTGTCCCTTTGGGGATTTTTCTCTTTGGGAGGTGGGTCCAGGGGGAGGGTTTGGTTGTGTCTCCCCCAAACAGGTGGGCCATGCCCGGGGAGGGGCCAAGTCCCTCCATGTCACCCCCATCCTAGATCAGTGGGTGAGCACAGAAGCTAGCAAAGGTTTTGCTTTCACCTCAGCCAGACCCTGTGCCCACCTGGCTACATGGACACTCATGCCACTGAGCTGCATGCTTCAGCCTCCCCGTTGGATCTTGGGACATTTGCTTCAAGGGGCTGTGTTCACTACATGGGCCAAGTTGCCCCCTCGCCTCCCTCATGAGTCAGGTGCCCCATGGTGCCTCCATTTTACAGACCTGGAGAAAAGTGACTCATGCACGGTCACAAAGAAGTCGGGCCCAGTCGGGTGTCACCCCCTTTCCAAGAGGCAGCTAGGTCTGGGGCTGGCCAAGGAGTGTCAGGGACACTGCACATTCTGGGGGTGGGGGTGGGTGACCAAGACAGGTGCGCCCTGTGGACTGTGCACCTGGGCCACATCTTGCTGAGATCGAGGCCCAGGGGTGGAGCTGACCCTGCGCCTCCTCCCCTACATTTCACACATTCCCTGCCCCATTTTCCCCCCTTGCTTCAACCCTGGGACTCCTGCACTCAGTGTACCTCCTGCACCCACCAGGCTGTAACTGTCCTTTCTGACACTGCACCACCATGGAGCCCTAATTTTCCCTAAGGCCCCACCCAGCCCCCCACCCTCTGCAGGAGGAAGGCAGCCAGGCCTCAGATGGGGAATGTCTTCTCAGCTCCTCGAAACACTGGAGGTGGGAACTGAGGATTTGGTGCCTCACTGGGAGTGGCAGGCTCTGTCCCACTTGGGTTTGGGATGGGCGTACAGGGCCCTGACATGCTGCCTACCCCACTTATGTCTCAGTTTCCAGTCTGGGAAGATGGCACAGCCCCTCACTCTCGTTTTGGGTGAGATCCCTAATTAGTTGCTTTGCTATTAGTGTCTAATGACTTGACAATTGCCCAATTTGAGCTAATTAGCTGCTTGCTCGGTGGTTGTGGGGAGGGGCAGCTGGTAAGGTTGGGGTGGCCTGGGAGGGCAGGTTGTGGAGCCCTGACAGGTGAGGGACCACCCAGGGTTGGGAGGGCTGCCTGGAGGAGTAGACATTGGCAGGGTGAGCAAGGTCAGGGTGAAGGTGTGGCTGGTGGGGTGGGGGGAGGAGGAGAGGAGGTCTGAAAGCCTAGGGGAGTCCTCTGTCTGGGAAAGATCCCAAGTCAGTCATTAACCCCTTAGTGAGAATTTTGATCTCTATCTGCTGCTCCTGCGGAGTATTTGCATATCAGGCTAAGGCACCAGTGGAGGAAATGGAGGCTATTATCTTGTATGCACTAGGCTTGGTTTTGGGATTGGGCCCCTCCGCAACACAGGCACCACCCTGTGCTCACCCGCCAACTTGGAACCAGGAATGTCAACATAGCAAGGCTCATGCTATTTTAGAGCCAGGAAGGGAAAAAAATGGCCCACTTAGGCAGCCAGCACTGGGGTGAGGGGGCTGCTCGTGGGACACACTTTCCTGGGGTCCTCGCTCCCTGACATGGGGACCTCCGTCTGCTTCCCACAACTCTAACATCTCAAAGACCTTGAATCCTTGGCCTTTGTTCAATCATGAAACATTTATTGAGGCCCGATGTGTACAGGGCCTGTGCTGGTCATGGGAGAAGGGGCGGAGGAGGAAGGGGCTGACCTCCATGGTCCAGGAGGGCAGACAGCGGGACTATGTGGAGATAAAACTGATGATGTTGGAACATGATGTGTAAATAGGTGGGAAAAAGCATTCTAAGCAGAGAGAACAGCATGTGCAAAGGCCCTGGGGTGGGAACAGGAACAGCCAGGTGGTTGGTATGGCTGGAAGGCCATACCTTTGGGAAGTCAGAAGGCAATGAGGTTGGGGGTGTCACGGTGACATGGGGCCTCATGGGCCTGGGGGGACTGTGGGTTTTATTCTGCATGATGGGGAAGGTTTTGAGCCAGTGGATCACAGGGTCTGATTGACGTTCAGAAAAGTGAGCCCTGGATTTGGGGAGGTCTGGTGGTGCCTGGGCTTCTAGTCTCTGAGGCAGCAAAGCAGCTCCAGTCTCTGATACTTTCCAGAAAGTGAACTAGTAGGGGAAAATGATGGTGGCATCTGAAGTAGGGGGAGGCAGGCAGGTGTAATGGGGGACACAGGCAGAGGCGGTTATGCTGTGGCCCCACCTTCCAGGGTCCATTTTGGTCTCAATACAGGCCCTGTAGAGAGCCAGGCTCTCTTTCAGGCTGCGTGTGCATCCCCAGGCATCGTGTCGGGGATGGAAAACTGAGGCCCAGATGGGTTGGGAGCCAGGAAGGCAGTGCCTCCAGTCCGGCACCAACCCCCATGATTCCCCCATTCCATTTTCTCCCACAGGGCCTGGCCTGGGTGTTGGCCAGTCCTGGGGCGGGTGCACAGCTGTAGCCATCATCGATCGGCTGATCAGTGGGGCTTTCAGTGGGGCTGGGAAGGAGCAAAAATGACTTTTCATAAAAGCCTGGAGCTGCTTCTGCATCAGTTGAGCCCAAGGGGCTGGAGAATGCAGCCAGTCAATGAGATGCTAATGCCCAGCCCACTGTGGAACAGCCCAAGGGATGGGCAGGGTCTGAGGCTGACTCTGGTCCCAGCCTGGCCGTGGTCCTAGCCTGACCCTGGTCTCAGCCTGACCCTGTCCCGGTCTGGTCCCCCACATCCTGAGTCTTGCTGCCACACACATTTACTCTACAAACACCCTCCCATCTCTGTGGGGGTGGGATGAGCTCCCAGTCCCCGGACAAACCCAGCCATGTGGGGAAGGGACTGGGGGAGAGTCTGCTCCCTCTACTCCCAGACCCAAATTCTGAGCCTTAAAATCACCACCATTTTAATGATGGATGGGAAAACTGAGGCACGAGTGAGCAGGGTCTTCTGCCTGCCTCAATTTCACCTCTGTGGGTCCCAGGAGCCCTTGGCCCCTCCTGGTGTAGCATCTCAGGGGTAGCAGGGGGCCAGCCTCTGCCATCTGATAATCCGGCCCCTCCTCAGGTGCCCAGCTGTGCCAATCAATGCACCCATCATGGGGGCTGAGGCAGCTGGCAGAGTGGGCAAAGAGGCAGCGGCAGGGCTGCAATCCCTGTTGCCGACCCTCACTGGGCCTCAGTTTCCCCGCCTGAGGGAGGAGTCAGGAGCGGCCTGTGGGATCCTGCCCTGCAAGTCTCATTCTCAGGCCTTTTATGTGCTAATAAGCCCCTTTCAGGAGGCCCCCTCCTTGTCCTTCCTAGGTCCAGACCGCGTTTACATGATAGAGACCCAGGGGACCACCCCTGGGAGATCTAAGGGCTCCTGGTTCTGTAGCCCGAGGCAGTAATGGAAGGGGAACTGCCGGTCCCTCTCTCAGCTGACCTCTATCCTCACAAGACAAGGCTGGATCAGGAGGGCTTCCCCAGAAAGGGGCTTGGGCAGCTGCAGGGTGGAGGTGTCAGGGCTGGGGGGAATCTGATGGGATGATCAGGAGCTTGGGGGGCAGCTGCCGGATTCCGGAGGATCCCCGAGGGAGGACGCTGGACTCTGTGAGGTCACACAGGACCGATCGTGTGGGACTGTGGATGGAACCCAGGGCACCTCTGAGCTAGGCCGAGGGAGGGAGGGCCCGAGGTGTTCTCCAAACCCTGTCCCCTGTAGGGAAACTGAGGCCTGAGACTAGGGGTGGGGTCAGAGCTTGCCCTGGAAGGTACCGGAACACCGGCCTGCGTCCCCGCGCCGCCCTGGGCCTTCAAGGCAAGCGGATCTGCAGAAGGAAAGCTAAAGAGGCTGAATGTGATGTACACGTTGGGGGGCTGTCTGGAGGAGGCGGGGCTAGAAGTCAAGCAGTGATAACGTTTTTGGAGAGGAACTTCCTGGTGGGGTATCAGCCTGTGCTAGGCCTGTTTGCCGCAGAGGGGTCCAGATGTCAGGCCTGGGGTGGGGGCCGGAGGTGGGGGAGTGCCTCCAAGTCACGTGGCACCTGCTCGTTTGCATGTTACCCAGAATACCTGATGGCAACCCCTCCTCTCATAATCCTTATCCCCCACGACCCCGCCCCCGTGCTGACTGCTGGCCTCGCCCCCAGGTTCCATGTGGGCACGGCCGACGACGGCGGGGGATACACCGTTGAGGTGAGCATCAACGACTACCTGGACATATACTGCCCGCACTACGGGGCGCCGCTGCCGCCGGCCGATCGCATGGAGCACTACGTGCTGTACATGGTCAACGGCGAGGGCCACGCCTCCTGCGACCACCGGCAGCGCGGCTTCAAGCGCTGGGAGTGCAACCGGCCCGCGGCGCCCGGGGGCCCGCTCAAGTTCTCCGAGAAGTTCCAGCTCTTCACGCCCTTTTCGCTGGGCTTCGAGTTCCGCCCGGGCCACGAGTACTACTACATTTGTGAGTGGGCACGCGGGGTGGGGGCAGGCCGGGAGCCAGGGATGGGAGGCCGGGGCGTGGTCTCGGTCCGGCCCCTCATCCAGCGCTGGCCTCTGCGGGGGAGGTGGGGTCAGTCCCCTGGATGGTCTCATCATCCTCCCTGCAAGCTCCGGGGCCCCACTGCCAGTCCCCATTTTGCAGATGTGGAAACAATCTCAGAGTGGGGCTGAAAATACACACATGACCTCAGCTTCTGGTCAGCCACTGGACCTCTGGGCTGGGAGAGCCGATGGCCCCATCATCAATCAGCCTATCTCACACTGACACCAGAGCTGCTCATGCTGCAATGCACTGAGGGGGGTAAACTGAGGCTTACGGAGTCGGGTGGATGAGGGGAGCTTGGTCAAAGCCACGGGTGAGGGCAGAGCTGGTATTCTGCTCAGCACATCCTGACCTGGGCGGGAGTCTCCTAGGCCCTCCCCCTGCCACTCCCCCTCCCCCACTCCTGGCCTCAGGGAAGGGACCCTGTTCTTGCCATTCCAGCTTCCGCTGTGTCAGTTAAACTCTGCAATGCCCATTTCCTCCTTCTGCTCTATTTGGACTTTTTCCTTTTAATTCAGGGAAGAAGAGGGTGGAGGAGGGAGAAGAAGGTGTTTAAATGAAGTCGCGTAATATAAGAAAAATTACATTTTATTTCTGAGACAGGAGTTTCATAAAGATAATTATTGTAATTATTCGTCTATCTCGGTGACGAATGTTATTTCTATTATGTGCTCTTTATCTTCATCTCCCAGAGTGAAGGGCTTGTGGGGGGTGGGCAGAAGTGGTATCCGCAGAGAAGATAGGCTGAGAGGACAGGCAAGGACAGGCTGTAGCTTTGTGGGTGGTTACACCAGTTCACATGTGTGCACCCCACTGGTCCCATGGGGCCTCAGGCTGCCCTCCTCCCTATGATTCCTGAGTCCCCCTCCTTCCAGACTCATGGCTGATGCTGTGGCACCACCCTTGCCCTTCTCCAGGGCGCTTGCCAGGTGGGCCAGGAAGCAGGGAGTAATAAAGATGGTAGCTTAGGCTTGAGGACCAACTGTTGTGCTTCCACCTCCATGTGACCTCTGAAGTGTGGATCCCTCCAGGAGAGGCGGAACCTGCCTCCCTCCCAGGGTAACTGGCTTCCATCATCTCCCAGATAGAAATAATCCATTCCAAAGTATCTACTGTGTACCAGCTGAGGCCCAGATGGGGGAGACTTGCTGACAGGCATCCAGAGAGCAGGAATTTGATCGTGTTTCAATCATTTGGTTACACTGACTTTTGGCTGATCAATTGAAAGTAAATGTATTTTTATTCATCACCTTTGAACCTTGCCCTATGTTGCTCTGGGATGAGATGGAGCTGGATACAGACACCCCCAGTCTCTGGGGTTAGGGTTCAGCAAAGAGAGGGTCAGGGGAAGTGTAAAGGAGGACTTCTGGGAAATAGGGGGCATTGTATCTGGGACTTCAAGGTATGATTAGGAGTTTTATGGGTATGTCCTCACCTGGAGTCAAGGTTGAGTCACCAGCATGGGGAATAGGGTTACAGCACCAGGAGGTCTTGGGCACCGAGAGCCCCCTGCTCCATTCATTAATCCCCAACCCTTCTCTTCTAGCTGCCACGCCACCCAGTGCTGTGGATCGGCCATGCCTGCGGCTGAAGGTTTATGTGCGGCCCACCAGTAAGTGCTCAGGGGTTCAAGCAGGGTCCCAGCCCCCATCCTTGTGACCTCATTGAGGACCCACCAAGTGGTCAGTGGATTCAGGGGATAGTCACAGTACAGCCTAGGGAGTCCCACAACCTCAGCAATAGCTGGGGCAGGCCCCGCCCCTGAGCCTCAGTTTCCCTATCTGTAAATCAGGACATATCAGACCTTCAAGAGTGAAGGTTGAATCCCATGGCGGGTCCCCTGAGGCCATAGCCCCTGGAGAGTGGGTTTCAGGGAATTTCCCTGAGATGGACCAAAGGGCCTGTGTTCTGAACTCTTGAAACACCCAGAGATGAGGGGGCTCCCGCAGCCTTGAGACTTCACCTGGGTGCCAGGCACTCTTATTTGGGCGTCTGCTGTTCGCCTCGCTCTGTGCTGAAGGCACAGTCCCAACCAAGGTAGACAGAAATCTCTGTACCCTGAGGGGCAGCCAGGGTTGAGCTGGTTAATAAAATTCAGGTCAGGAGAAACTCTAGGAAGCAGGGGAAAGCAGATGCAGGGTGGGGTGGGGGTGCCACTTAGGGAGGGGTTTGGGCCGCCACTGACCAATCATCCTGTCTCCTTGTCCCCCAGACGAGACCCTGTATGAAGCCCCTGAGCCCATCTTCACCAGCAATAACTCATGCAGCAGCCTGGGCAGCTGCCAGCTATTCCTCAGCACTGTCCCTGTGCTCTGGACGCTCCTGGGCTCCTAGTCCCGGCCTGCAGGATGCCGGCACCACCTGGCCGGCCGCCTCCGAGACCAAATAGAGACGCCTGCCTCTCCTACAACTGGTGCTGCCCCCACCTGCAGGGGGCCATCTACCCACCCCAGGACCAGCCTCAGGGGGAGGGTGCAGCTGCAGACCCTGATGCCCAAGGGGCCGGTGTCAGTATAGCCTCTGGACAGGCAATCTCATCAAGGGCACTGGAGAACAAGAGACCCTGTCGGCGATGTTGGTTTTTTCTTTTAGTGTATTTTTCATGGTTGGATCAGAAAGATTTGAGTTTTTAATTTAATTTATTCCTTGCTGTTGCCAGTGACTTTAGGAAGGAAATAGAATGGATGGGGCAGGGTTCCCTGGCCCCCTGGGGGATGGGGATCTGGGACCCCTAGTCTGATTGCTCCATTTGTTGGGTCCTGGCTGGGAGGCTACCGTGGACCCCTCAGGTGCCCCAGGACAAGCCAGCCCAAGGTAGAAGGTGAGACCTCTGGATTCCGGCTCAGGTATCTGAGCTCATCTCAGACCCCAGTCCCCCAGCCCATCCTCCTCGCGCCTGGTGATTGACTCCCAAGTGTTTCATCAGAGGCCACTATGGAGTCCCAGCCTCCTTGGAATCACAGTGCCCCACCCCATCCCCCAGCTTCACACGATTGACCCCGAGGCCAAGAAGACATTACATTTTTGTAAATAGAGCCAGCAAGTATATACTGTGATTTATTTTCACTGTATTCCTGAGGATGGACTGGACAATTCTTTTTTTTTTTTCACCTCTTCATGGAGGCGGGGGGGGGGGGTGACTTTTTAGAGTAGAAGCTGCACTTCGCAATAAGCTTGTTCGTTTGTTGGACCCCCCCCCACTCTATGACTAATAATGTTTATAAGAAAAAAGAAAACAGGATAAAACAAAATGAAATGAGGGATGGAACCACCACCAAAAAAAACCAAAAAACAAAACCCCTCTCGAAGACACTTTCATGAAGCAAACAGTGCATTTATACAGATTTCATATTTCTATCCACCTTTCCTGATCTGTGTTTTATATATATTATATATAAATATATACGGTGCCTGGCCACCGGGAGACAGCCCGGCTCGCCAGCTGGGGGGCTTTTGTCAGCATTGGTGGTGGTGGCATTACCACTCCTAGAGCTGGCAACAGGGCCCCCCCACCCCCCTGTCACAATCAACTTTGGATTCTGTATTTTTTTATAATAAAATGAGCATAAACCTCTAGGGTGTGCATCTTTGTTTGGGGCTGGCGACCCTAGTTGGAGGAGCACTTTGTGCTAATCATTTGGGAGTCAAGTCCCTGCCAGGAATTGGTGTCTTTTGAGGAACATCTGGGGACAGTCATGACTGGTTCTTTGGTTCCATGCATCGTTTCGGGGCCAGGTCCTGGAATGAGCATTTTATGGGGCTCTGTACCTTTTCTTGCCACCCATGGGCCTTGGTTTCCCTCTCTGAGAAATGGGAACAAGTCCTCGGTTCCCCTGGGGCTGCTGGAGTGGGTAGAAGAAAGAGATGGGCTGGCTCTGAGTACACAGCAGGGGCTTATTAAGTGTCCCTCTGAGCACATGATGGGTCTCTTAGGAACCAAATTCTGTGACATCTCCATCGCCAAGCTCTGCCACTGTGTGACTCAGTTTCCCTATCTGTCCCCGTTAATCCCTTTGCTTTCTGGTTTTGCAAAAGGCATGTGTCAGTGGGTTGGGATGTCCCAGGAGTCTTCATCCCAGGCTAGCCCCAGACGGATGCACAGAGAGGCTTGGGGCTACCTGGCAGAGCTGAGGGACTGGGGTCCTCAAGGCCGCTCATGCCTTGGTGCCACTCCCAGGACTGCAGCATCTCCGGCACAGCTTGCTGAGAGGGAAGGCTGTCAGCTAATGAAGTCAGCCGTGCTAGGCCTGGCGACAGGGGCTGCCTTTTAATGAGAAACAGCCGGCGGCACAAAGATCCCTGTGTCCCCCCCGCCCAGCCCTGCTCAGTGGCCGGGGTAGAGAACGCATGCCCCTCCCTGCTGAGCACCACAGAGAGAGACCCTAGGGCCCCACTCCACGTTGAGGACCCCAAAGCTCAGAGGGGGTGGTGGCCTGCCTGAGTCCACTCTCCCTGAAACCCTTTTCCCACACTCCAACCCAGCCATGGGACAGAGGTAGCTGGAGGGAGAGAATTAAATGCAGGGGTCATGGGGTAGAATCTTAGCAGCTGACTTTGATTTCGTTATTTAAAAAAAATTTGTTACTGAGATGTAATTCACATACCACACCATCCATCCATTTAAAGTACAATTCCACATTTTTTAGTATATTCACAGGGTTGTGCAACCATCCCTCTATCTAATTGCAGAACATGCCATCACCCCCAGAAGCAGTCCCATCCCCATTAGCAGTCACCCCCAGCTCCTGACAACCCCGAATCTGCTTTCTGTCTCTCTGGATATACCTGTTCTGGACGTTTCACATAAATGGAATCATACACTGTGTAGCCTTGTGTGTCTGGCTTCTCTCATGAACACAGTGCGTTCAAGGTCCATCCACGTTATAGCGAGTGTCAGCACCTCACTCCTTTTCGTGGCTGAGTGACATTCCAGTGTGTGGATGGGCCACGCTGGGTTTATCCATCATCTGCTGAAGTACTTTTGATTGTTTCCACCTTTTAGCTATTATAAGGATTTAAAAATTATTATTATCAATAAGGTACATTTATATTCTGTGATGATAACTACTTACTATTTTTATTTATTTTTAAAGATTTTATTGGGGAATCGGGGGAGGGGAACAGACAAGTTGCTGTCCTTTTGTTCTTCATTCTAGTTGTGGAGGATGTCGCTTCACTGGCCCATGTTCATATTATCATTGTGCTCATCCTGGGTGAGGCAGATCAGTCATTGGTTACTGGACGGCCGCTCATGGCGGCTCTTGGCAGCTCATGCAGGCTGCCGCCACTCATGGTAGCTTTACAGCAGCCCACTGTAGCCTCACTGCAGCCTCTGCCATCGCCGTCGCCGACGACTCACAACAGCCCAGCTCCAGGTCAAGCTGTTGTTCACCATCTTAGCTGAGAGGGCATAGCATCACTGGCCCGCATGTGGGATCCGAACTGGGGTCCTGCTGCTCAGAGCTGGCGTCCCAAAGCCAGTTCTTAACCAACACGCCACTCAGCCAGCCCGCTGCTTACTATTTTTAGACAGTTTTATTTTATTTTTTTAAATTGGGGAACAGTGCGTTTTTCCAGGACCCATCAGCTCCAAGTCAAGTAGTTGTTTCAATCTAGTTGTGGAGGGCGCAGCTCCATGGCCCATGTGGGGATCAAACCAGCAACTTTGGTGTTATGAGCACTGTGCTCTAACCGAGCTAACAGGCTGCCCCTTTGAGAAAGTTTTAATACAAAAGGTGACCTTGGTGGGTAAATATGCAAATAGCTTCCACCTCAGGACTTTGGCATGTGCTGTGCCCCCTGCCTGGTGCACCTTTTCTGCAGATCACTGCTTGGCTCTCGACCTCCCTGGCCAGTGGCCACTCACCCCATGTCCCTTGCTGTCAAGTCTCTGATTCCTTACTTGTCCATCTCCCCTACAGGCTGGAAGCCCCCAGAGGCAGGGCCAGGTCTATTTGGGCATCACTGGGACCCAGTCCCTGGCCCACAGTCTCCTCTCAGACTTGTTGTCTGCCACACACCGACACTATGCATACACCCTTGTTGCACAGCCGCAAGCACCATGCACACACACCCCTGTACCACCAGACGCATTTGGGGCCTGGGTCTCTGTGGAATCACTCCTGGCTCTTGCTGGTCACTGGTCACTGCCTCGGGGGCCACTGTCATCATGCAGAGTGACCAATCACTCCCAGGGCTGCACTGTACACAGCTGGGGTCTCCACGGCCCCCACCCAGCCACAGCTGAGACCCCCACACTGCCTGCAGGCCCTAGGGCAGCATGGCCATCAGTATGTACCTATCGGTATGTGGGGCCTATTCTGCGGCTTTTCTGGCCTGGAGGTTCCAGAGGAAAGTGATTTCCTTCCTGTGGCCAGGTACTGCCACCTTTGTGCCTTGCAATGGACAGGTGGTCCAGGAGGCGGGGAGGGGAGTTCTGAGGTCCCTCCAGCCCTGCTGGCTACTGCCATGGAGCCATGCCTCCCCCCTCAGGCCTCCTCAGATTCGTAGCCATCTTGGTGTGTGGGGTGGACAAGTTACAGGATGGGCTCCCTACAGCCCCTTCTCTCTAGGCCCCGGGGTCCCCATGTACATCTCCGGTCCAGGAAAAGCCCTGGGCTCCACCCCCATGGATCCCCCTACCCCCCCTTGCTGTGACCGTCCTCATCCCAAGGACTGATGGGGACCACACTGGCTTTTAGGGGTCTTATCAAGTCCCTTGACCACAGCCACAGAGCTGGAAGCCTTCATGTCTCCACACCACCACCACTCAGAGGAAAGGCCACAATCCCATCAGCCCCCAGGGCTTGGCCATTATCGAGTCTTCCCATCTACTCCTCCCTCCCAACACCTGCTCCCTGGGGATTCTCGGACTCACTGGGGGCTCCCACCTCCCACCTACAGACCTTTGCTTGGGCTGTGCCCCTGCCTGACGCACCCTCCCCTCCTTAGGGCTTTCCTCAAACACACCAACATAGGCCCTCCCCCAATCTTCTCCCTTGCCTCCTGTGTGGTTTTCTTTTCTCTTTGGCATTTATTCACCATTCCTTAGGCACGCTCCATATTTTCCTTATTTATCTTGTTTCTTGTCTGTTTCCTCCTCTAGACTCAGCTCCCCGAGGGCAGGGATTTTTGTCTGTCTTGGTCACTGCCATGTCCCCAATGCCTAGAGCATGCCTAGTACACAGTAGGCGCTCACTAAATGATTGAATGAATGAATGTTGTATATGTATTTATGTGGAAGCTGCATGATCAGAAAAGGGTATAACATGAGAATTGCATTTCCTGTGCCAATGTCAGCACCCCTAGCAAGCATTTAGTGAGTGCCTACTGTGTGCAGTCATTGCTGGGCCTTTCTTCGGTCTGTGGAGTCAGAGTGAGGATGGTGAGGCCTGCCCTAGTAGTCTCTGAGTCCCATATTTGTGGGGCTTATCGGCCATGGGAAGAGGGTATGGTGTTGGGGACCCTGGTCTAGGTTGCAGGTGGCTGAGTGGCCACTGATGAACAAATAAAAAGTGAGTTGGAAGCCAGGAACCCAAGGAACCATAAATCACCACGAGATGACACACAGCCGGAAATTAAGTGGTTGAAGCTGGGCTGGCATGACTTAAGGGGCAGAAACATTGGGGAGAGAGTGGGAACCTTTTCCATGCTTAGTCTCCCCTCAAAACTGCTGGGCTGACTCAGTCATTATTAGAACTATACAGGTGATGATCATTAGGTCCTGGCATGGACCATAGGTGAGGCAGGGCCTGGAACACTGAGCTCGGGGCAGGTGGCAGGACCCACTGAAGCAGAGACTAGACAGAAGGGCGATTCAGGTGTCTTCCCCCAATCTTTCCGGAGGCTGGGGGTGGAGGCAGGGCCTCAAAGGTCAGAGCAAAAAGGAAGCAGGCTGGAGTCTAGGAGGAGTGGACTCCAGGTGGTGGTCTGCTGAGCCTGAGGACTCAGGCTACCCTCCCAGGGAGGTATCCAGGAGGCCACTGGACCCTCTGTGCCTCTCTGCATTGTTGTGGGATGGAGCAGAACCCCGCCTGCGTTGCCCGATCTCCCCTCTATGGTTGAGCAGAAATGTGAGACCAGTGAGAAGGAGAGACTCCCAGGAGGCAACCTATCTGACAGCCCCTGACACCCCCCGCCCATTGATCCGGAAATAGAAGCCAAGAGCCCAGAGAAGATTGATGGGCCCTAATGGACAATGCAGTCCATGGTGGGGGGCACTAAACAGTGCTAGAGATCCCCTCTTCTGCGCAGGTGGGGAAACTGAGGCCCCACCAGGCACATAGGCAGACCTGGTGAATCCAGGGTGAGCCTAGGTCTGGGTGGGATCAAGAGTTGGATCTAGGCAGGGTTTTGGGCAGCCCCAGGGTGATGATGATGAGACTGCGTCCCCCCAGCAGCAAGGGGGCCTGGGTGCGGCGGGCCACCCTTCATGCCTTCTCTAGGAAACATTCGTTCAGCCCACCAGGCTGTGTTGGGGACCCCAGGGCTGCCCTCTTTCTGATGCTTTGGCTCAACTACATGAGTTTGGGGGTGTAGGAACTTCTATGGGTTCCAGTC